AGCTCTGCCTGCTGCTGTGGGAGCTGTGGCTGGAGGCACTCACTCTGGCCATGCACACAGAGGGAAGCACTGGCTGCTCCTCCTGCAGAGCACAGGGATGGGGAGGGGCAGCAGTACCTGCAGCAGCTGCTGGCTGTGGCTGCTGTCACCAGGATAGCCACAGCTGATGCTGCAGGGCAGCCACTGCAGCCATCTCTGCTGTACAGGCACTGCAAACCTGCCCAGCTGGTGTGGGTGATTTCTCACAGACAGCTCCTCACAGCACAGCCAACAAACTCCATCTCTCCTCACCCAGCTAACCCACTCTTCTGTAGCACTCTTCTTCTTCTTGGTTCCAGCTGTGGCCTGTTAAGGGCAGGCCTGTTCCTAACCTCTGGTAATTTGTGCAGCTGCAGCTCCTCAGGAGTGAGATTACCTCCTGCACTATCTTTATTTCCTCACATTCTATCCCCCCACATCCTGGTGCTCCTGTTTGCAGGGGTGGGAGATCTGTGCCTCACACTCTGAGCTGGCTGCACCTGTGACCTGTGGAAGCTGTCAGCCCTTTTGTGTTTGCCTTTTGAAGAAACTGGCATTGCTTGCTGGGAGAGGTAGGGTATAGGACTAGAAAACTAGTCCTTTGATGCACTTTGGAAAAGTTCCTGCTTCTAGAAAAGTCTAAGCATTAGAGCCTGAAATAATTTGATGTGGGACACTGTGCAGACTATCCAGGTTTTTGGAGCATTTTCCTTTAATGGTGTGATTTATTTACATAGTATGAACACTTTGGAAAGTGAACAGGCTACTGTAGGATGAGTGAATGATGCATGGAAGCATCTTTTCCTTGCAGTCCTGGCAGAATGCTGTGGATCTCTTCTCATCCAGGGAGTCTGGGAGCTCATGGCTCTCAGCTGTGCTGGGAGTACTGTGCAGTTATGAGCTTTTGGTGGTTTTTATTGTCACTAAAGGTGGAAGCTCAATGAAAAGCATATTTTTCCTCATCACTTCATGCCTGTGTGTGTCCCAGCAGTGAGGATTTGCTCAGGCCTGCAGAAGCAGACTCTTTAATCCCTTGCCCTCATGTTAACTTTTGACGCCATGTCCTGCTTGGGCTGCTGCCAGAGGAGCCTCTCTGTAATCCCAGCTGCAATCCTTATTTGTGCCACCCCTGTCCCCAGGGGCTAATGGGAGGGAGCAACAAGGCACGTAAGTGCTCTGTGTGAAGAAACAGATGCTGTTTTTCTCCTCTTCAGCTCCCCAGTGCCTGTTTTGGAGTCCATTGTGTTTAAATACAAGTACAATAGGTAATAACTTTGTTCCATGCATTGTCCTCCTGAAGGGACAACATGAAGGGATTGGCTGGGTGGGGAGTTAATTCCATCTTTTTCTGAGCTGATTGATGCAGTTTGTTCTGTCTGCTAAGTGCTGGGTAACTCCCAGCAGCAGAAACCTCTCACTTAGAAGTAATAACAGTTTAAACCTTGGTATGCTTCTGCTTCCCTCTCAGAGCAGCCTCAGTTCCCTTGGCCCTGGGGGTGCTGCTGAAGGAGTGCTCCTGCAGCAAAGCAAATAATTGGACTTGTAGAAGGCGGTGTAGCCTCTGCTGCATGCAGCCATACATTTGGTAAATAATGGTTAAAGCTCTGTCTGGCCCTGTAGCTCAGGCTCCTGTGAGTGCTGCCCAGGCAGGGTGAGCTCTGCTGCTGGTGATACAGCAGCAGGAGCAGCAAACCTACCCAGGTGTGTTTGGTTTGTGTGGCAAGGTTTTGGTGGTGATGGGGGCTACAGCAGTGGCTCCTGTGGGACACTGCCAGAAACTTCCCCCATGTCTGACACAGCAAATGGCAGATGGCTCCAGCAGGGACCCACTGCTGGCCAAGGCTGAGCCCTTCAGTCCAGCTGGCAGCACCTCTGGGATAATGGGGAAGGGGAAAAAACAAAAGAGAGACAGAAGGGAGGCTATGGGAGGGCAACAGCTCTAAATACCCCAAGGTCAGCGGGGAAGGAAAGGCAGGGGGTGCCTCAGACAGTGGAGCAGAGTTTCCCCTACAGCCCATGGGGAGGCAGCTGTGCCCTGCAGTCCATGGAGGTTCAAGAGGATGCAGAGATCCACCTACATCCATGTTCAAAAGGAGTTGTGACCCCAGGGGAAGACCACAGTGGAAGAGGCTCCAGGCAGGACCTCCTGGAGAGAGGAGCCCAAGCTGGAGCAGGTCTGCTGGCAGAACTGGTGACACCACAGGGAATCCACACAGGGCAGCCTGTTCCTCAAGGACTGCACTCCTGTGAGAGACCCAGGGAGGAGCAGTTCATGAGGAACTGCAGTCCATGGGGAGCACTGACACTGGAAAAGTTCCTGGAGGACTGCCCCATGGGAGGGACCCCACACTGGAGCAAAGGAAGGATGAGGAGTCCTCCCCTTGAGGAGGAAGGACCTGCAGAAACAGCTGCAGTGTAGTGAACTGACCACAGCCCCCATTCCCCATCGCTCTGTACTACTGGGTGGGTGGGAGATAGAGAATTTGGGAGTAAAGCAGAGCCTAGGAAGAAGAGAAGAGTGGGGGAAGGTGTTTTAAGATTGGGTTTTATTTCTCATTATCTAACTCTGATTTGATGAGTAATAAACTAATATACCCACAATGAGTATGTTTTGTGCCTGACAGTAATTGCTGAGTGATGTCTCTGTCCTTCTCTCAAACCATGAGATACATTTAATGCATTTTCTCTCTCCTGTCCAGCTGGGGAAGGGGGTGATTGGGCAGCTTTGGTGGGCATCAGCTTCAGCCCACCGCAGCAGGTCACAGAGGAGACCTCCAAGGATCTCCTGGCCAGAATGTAGCTCCCAGCCATCCTTTGACTCCGTGCACTGAGTTGTTACAGGTGGGGTTGCTGCAAGGTCGTGCCCTCCCACGAGGGTTCAGCCAGGCGAGCCCAAGCCCCGTGTGTGGGCAGGAGAACGCTTCCCCAGCCTGCAGGAAGCAAAGCATCCTTGTAACCTGGCCTCAGGTGGCAGGGCTGTGACTCATTTCAATGACATGCTGAGAGGAAGTGAGGGTGCCTCTTCACCCTCTGTCTCACCCTCTGAGCGAGCTGGCTGCTGCAGGTGAGATTTCTCAAGACCTCAGAATCTCTGCTGCTCAGAGTGACCCCGAGATGTGTTAGAAAGTCTCTTTTCCCAGCCCAGCCATTGAAGAAGGAGTCAGAACTCTTCTGTTCTCATTCTCAAGGTTGTTTATTGTTTCTAATCTATAAAATTCTTTCTCCAACCCGCCACAGATCTGTCTGGCAGGTTGGGTTGAGGCACACTGCCCGTTCTTAGGGCAGTGTTGTCTTTTTTATGCTAAAAACTACGTGTACATTATTTCCTATAACTTCCCAATACCTATCACCTATGTTAGACAGTGAGCTTCTACTCTAAACCAGTCTAAAAGTACCAGCATCACTCAGAAGATGGAGGCTAGGAAGAAGAAGGAAAAAGGACAAGGCACACACAAATTCCTCAATCTTGGGGCCCCAAGCCCCCATTCTAAAAACCTCAAAAATCTATTTTTCATCCTGTGACAAACTAACTATTATTCTACTTAGACTCTCTTGACTTGTAATTCTTCATATAAAGGTTGGTATTTTTCCATGGGTCAAGATCAGAGGCACAGAGGTCTTGGGCACTGTGCCAAGGTCTCTGAGCCCCCTGGGCAGGGGCTGGAGCCCTCCAGTAATTCTGCCCCTTGCTGGGTGCAGATTTGCCCCCGAGCAGGCTGCACGGGCTGGATAGCTCAGTCCTCTTGCGGGACAGACTGCCCAAGAACCGAAGCAGTTCTCAGCCTCTGGCAACCACAGCAAGCTTAAGGGATCAGCTCTTTGTGATTCCAGCCCTTAGCTTGCTAAGAGCCACAGGAAGGCAGGCAGAGAGAGGAGAAGGCCATTCTGGCGTTCCACAGCGTTCTGTGAAGGTTCCAGTGACAGCTTTTCTAACCAGAATGGGCTAAAACAGCCCATTATATGGGATACAGGGGAATCAGAAATTGTCTGATAGCAAGGGTTAAAGGAGAGTGACCTGTGGGGTTACAGAGAGATAAGCAGGAGTTTGAAGGCAGCAGACAGGGGCTTCTAGCTATTCACCATTGTCAGAACCCAGGACATCCCTCTGGCTGTCCTGAGCAGCCATGACCCCTGCCAGGGGGCTCAGAGACCCTGGCACAGAGCCCAAGATGCCTGTGGTTTTGATTATGGCCCATGGAGCAAGTTACCAACCTTGTATGAAGATCTGCAAGCCACAACATTTTAAGTAGAATATTAGTGAAGTTATCAAAGGTTGGAAAAGTAGATTTTAGGGGTTTTGCTATGGGGGTTCAGGGGGCAAGATGGAAGGAACTGGATGTGTCCAGCCTTTCTCCTTCTTCTTCTTGGCCTCCGTCCTCTGCTATGATGTTGGCACTTTCAGACTGGTTTCAGACTGAGTAGAAGCTCACTGTCTAACATAGGGGATAGGTATTGGAAAGTAATTGTAGACATTGTATACGTAGGTTTTAGTATAAAGACATAACACTGCCCTGGGGGCAGGCAGTGTGGCTGGGCTGTCTTGCTGAGCTGACCTCAGCAGGGCAGGAGAAAATTTTTTATAGATAAGATAAAATAAACAACCTTGAGACCGAGAAATGAAGAGCCCTGACTCCTCCTTCAAGCGCTGGGCTGGGAAAAGAGACTTTCTAACATTTCTCAGAGTCACTCTGACCAGCAGAGACCCCGCCACACCATGACTTGGCATTTCCTACCTTTAGGCCTCTGCTCTCCACGGGGCCCTTGCAGGCCCTGGGCCTGCTACACTCCAGGACAGCCAGAGGAATTTCCTGGGTTGCCACACCAAGGTGCCAATTGGACACCAGTTATTTCCAAGTGGTTATCCAGCAGCAATTTCAACAGCAGACTGGAGGGGTGAGGGGGGAAGTGTTCTCAGCTGAGGTGTGCTGATGATGGCACTGCTCTTTTTCTCTCCCTCTCCACCCTCACCCCACTCCCAGCAGAGACACACGGAGCACGATGTCCCTGGCATCCTGGTTCAGGTGGAACGAGCCCCCAAACCGCATTTCCCAGAGGAGCCCCACGGAGATGGTGGTGGAGACGCTGATGATGGAGCTGAGCTGGCAGATGAAGCAGGCCGAGAAGCAGCAGCGCGAGCGCGAGAACGAGTACCGGCGCATGAAGAGCGGCGTGGACTACGGCTGGCTGGTCAGCTACCCCAAGCACAGCTACGACATCAGCCCCGGGGAGAGGCTGCAGCTGGAGGACATGTGCACCAAAATACACCCTTCCTACTGCGGGCCTGTCATACTCAGGTACTGCCAAAGATGGGGTGATGAAGAGCTTGCCTTTCCCCCTTTCCTCTTTAGGATGTGTGAGGAGAGAGTGAGAGTTGCTAGGACCAGCAGAACCAAAATGTGGCATCTTGTATCATGAGTTGTGCTGGGATAGTGTCTTTGTGAGAGAAGGGAAATCTAATGTTTTAAGTCAGTTTAACATCATTTCCCCCAAGAAGTTACAGAATGCTATTTCCCTCTGACATTGGTTGAGTGCTTCATGCTCCTAAGTAGCCAGAGCAGCATTACCTTGCCTGATGAACAGGTACCATCTCAGTATTGTGATGGTTTGGTTTTGCTTCACATTTGGAATTGTAGAGAAACTGAGGTTTAAAGGGACCTGTAGAGGGATGTACTTCCACCTCCTACTTGGAGTAGGGCCACCTTCAAAGTTAGATCAGGTTGCTTAGGGCCTTGTCCTGTCCACTGTTGAATATCTCTGAGGGCAGAGGTTCCCCAGCCTTCAGAACAGCCTCCTTTGATGTTTCCCCCCCTCTCACTGGAGCCTTCATTCCTGGATTTAAGCTGTCCAGCAGGTGTGTTGAAGCACTTGTCCCCAGTGTCCAAACCAGCCTAAAGGTGCTGTTATTTTTTTCAGCCTGTGAACCAGTTTCTCCCAGAGAATGTCTCCCTTCCCTAGCCTCCCTCTTCACTCTAGACATGGAGTCATGGGATGCAGGTGGGGATGAGTTGATTTAAACAGTCAAGTGGTGCTTCTGACTTCTGCAGTGTTTAGATATGCACAAAGCCTCTCTTGCTGTGGAGCCTTTCAAGTGCTGCCCTTAGGGTTGCTGCCTGCCTGCTGAGTGACCTCCTGTGAGAATGCCTTTAGAAACTGATCTAAGCCTGCTCTAGCATGCAGACTGGAAGGGAAAGGTGTGGCTCTTTTCCTTTTGGGGTGGCTGCTCTAAGATAAACTCTTGCACTTGGCACAGTGAAGGCAAACTTGGCAAAGTGAGGAGCAGTGACTCTGCAGTGCACCTCAGCCAAAGCAAAGTTGTGCAATGGGCCTTTATAATGAACTTCCCCTGTTCCAACATGTTCTTCAGATGGGATTAGAGTGAACACAGTCCTTACAGAACATATACAAGAGGCTCTCAGCACCCTGCAGTCCCTCACTGCATATGCTGGCTCCTGTTTTCCCTTGAATTGCAGCTGCAAAAGTGCTGGAAATAGCTGCTCCTCTGTCTTACAGTGGATGTAGCCAGGAAAGAATGCCAAAATTACCTCTCTAGCCCTCATCTTCCCTGGGGCTGAACCTTGGAAGCAACCTGGCACACAGAGCCTTGGCTCTTGCAAAGGTTGCCACGATGGCAGAATTTGGGATCATTCAGTGACCAAGACCTCTCTAGTGAAAATTTGCTGGGAACAGCACCTGCCTTGTGGTTGTATAACTCCAAGCTATGCTGTAAACAAGCCACTTCAAACCCCTGGGATTCAGAGCTATCTTTACCATCCCCAGGGCCACTGAGCGAGGCCTGGCTGGCTAACAGGTTATTTCCATGGCAGCAGGCTTTGTTTGCTGGAGCAGAGAGGCCCCAAGGTTCATCCGCTTCAGGAAGGTATTAAGCTGAGCCATATACAATTTGCTGCTCTGCTATTTGTTTTTTGTTTAATTGATACAGATCATGCTAGATGTCTGATTTCAGTGCAGCTTGTAATGGCTGTTCACTGTTGTTCAGGATTCAGCATACTGATAAATGTAAGTAGATAAAGGCAGTAGATAAATGTACTCAACAACGTTGGTGGACTCTGTGTGGGTGATTGAAGTAGGCTAAAACCATCCTCTTAAAACTCCTCTTACAAATAGGGTGCTGTCATAAATTGTATTACACTGTGATTTGAGAAGTGGCATGTTTTACAGAGCTTGCATGGTTAGCAGAGCCACACTAAAATAAACCCTGAGGATTTCATAACCTTTGTTGGTTCAATTCTATGACTGAGAAGGGGCTATCACAGTCACAGAAATGGTGGAACTGGATTGTGTCAAAGGTCTGGCTGATCTGGTGAGCAGTCTGCATTGACCAGTGGCATCAGTGTAAGGAAAAGAGCAAAGGACAAGGAAGAAAATCCAACAGCAGGGACAATTACACCTCATATATAACATCCAGCTTACTGTGCCTTGTAACTGGGAGATTTTTGGAGCCACAAGTGCACCTTCTATCCATAATTGGCTGATGTGGCTTTTTCTTTCAGTTGTTTAAGTTGTGGGAGCTTTTCTCTTTTTGAACACGTATAAATTTATAACATTTTGGCACCCTGTGGCAGAGCTCCACTCCTGAACTACAAGTCTGTTACAAAAAACTGTGTTTTGCTTGTCTTAAGCTAATGTGTCCTAATTTTATTCAATAATCCTTTCATATTGTGTTGGAAATGTTAAGAGTTGACCCCTCTCCTTTTCTACCTTCTAACTGAGAGCTCTGTCATTCCATGGAATTTTCATTGCTGGTGAGGAAACAAAGAAAAAGAATGGGGCTTGCCATGTTAGGAGGTGAAAATATACAGGGGAAAGAAAGAAAGAAAAAAAAAAGATCCTGCCATTTAAAAGAAAGGCAGCCAAAACTGGATAAATTCTCTTTACAGAAAGTGAGATAAGATGGAGATTTTAGTAACTTCCCCAAAATTCCACAAGATGAGTATAATAGGAATGCAATGAAACCTCCACATTCCCAGATAAGTACTTTAATAATAAGATCACTGCACTGCTGATGTGCACTTCTCTGTGACTTCCTAATATGTAGCAGCTTTTAGAAAAATCTTCCACCTAAAAAAAGTTTGTGACTTTGCATTGGGAAATTCAAATGCAGAGCATGTACCCTACCACAGCCCTTGGTTCTGACTGAAATAGTAAGCTTGATCCTTTCCCTTCCACTTTAGATATTTGAAGAGCTGAGATCCTTTTTGAAGTCCTTTTTGCACTCAACAAGCACATAATTCTTAAATAACACAAGGAGCAGGCATCTTGCAAGACTGCAGAGTTTGTTTTGTTTGTGTCATGCAAGGTCTCCTGCTTTGTGAGCCTCTGAGTTCAGAGTCAAAGCCAGAACAAAACATTTTTATGTGAGTTGTCAGAGATGTCACTTTGTTCTCTAAAGGTCTAAATGATCCAAATTTTCCTTTTCTGTGGGTATGGGCTCATTTACTGAGAGGCAAAGTTTATCCAAATTTGTTTCTTTAGATGTGGAGGAGGCTGGAAAGGAGCACTTCACAAATGAACAGGTTTTTTTCAGATCCAGATTGCCTATTTTGTATTTTGGGTCAATAGGAACTTCTCTTTGAGGCTCTTGGAATTCTAGAAGGATTCAAACACACTGCAAATAGCATCAGATATCTGGAGACCCTGATTCACCTCATGCAAATAAAGCCATTGCATTCAGGAGTAACTTAGCTTTAGGTTACTGGGTTAGAGATCTCTGTTTATTTAGAATTAAATCCTGGAGCCAGCTGAAGGAACTGACAGTGAGTTTGGTGAGGTCTGTAGTACCTATCCGCCCTGGTCAAACTCAACAAGTAGAATGGTATGTTGCCAATTAAAAATGCTGGATTTTTCCCATCTCTACTCAGAGCTTTAACCTTAGTCAGAGCTAGTTAAAGTCTGTTTAATTGCTTTCAGTTTCAGAAGAGTGAAACAGTTGGTTTTTGTCCTCCTGTGTCCAGAGGGAAACAAAAAACTCCCTAGGATGGAAATGTGAACCTGCATTTTGGTGATCTGAGTTGTTATCAATATCCCAGGCTAAGAACTGTAATTTTATAAGGATTGTGTGTAGCTGAAGTGGCCTTCCTAGTAAGACTTAATGTAAGACAAATGACTAAAATCAGAAATGGATTTATTTACAATGACAAGCTTAAGTTTGAGGTGATGTGACATGAGTTGCAATTAGTGTGAATGCTGTAATTCTTTGGGAGTCAAGGAGCCTTTTCTAGCAAAGCTGTTTGAGTGTTACCCTAGAACCAGAATTACTGCTCAAAATATAGATTCAGGAGTCAGCAGCTAATTATTAGCACTAAGCAACCCCACATTTTCTTTGAATGACTAAATCTACTTAGAGCTCCCCATTCAGACAGGCACCCAGGAATACCCTGAACTATAAGCACATTGTTTAAATCCATGGACTTTCACTGGATTTAACAGGTCTTTAAAGTTCAGGCTGTACTTAGGGAGCCCACTGTACAGGGGACCTACAGAATAACACAGGCAGGTGACAGTGCTTTAAAAAGCAGTGCCAGGATGAGCCAAGCACGGCAGGATTCTTGAAATGTGACAGCCCCATAAAGCAATGAAAGGGACAAATTTGTTTGAACTGTGATTCCAACACTGCCTGGACTGGGGAATGTGCTCATCCCTGTGTATGCCCATTCATCCTCCCCAGGTCTGTGCTGGTTCAAGGTGAGTTTTTGTCACGTCCCAGTCACTGTGTGACGTGTGTGCATGATGAATTCCAGGAGAGCAGCCAGCACTCCCACAGCTTGAGCCACAGATCAGATACAGAGGTCTGCTTTTGTGATGAGTAAGGGAGCCCTGCTGAGGTGTTTCTGGACATGGTTGTGAGGTTGCCTAGTTTGAAACTATCCCATGCAAAAGTGTAAGGGTCTTAACCTCTGGTAGAAGACAGATGAGCCTTGTGCAATTTTGTGTTCTTAACCCCACTGAGCAGCTTTGTGTGGAGTTTGTTTCCCAAGATACAAGGCCATACTGCCTGATTCCAGTGGTTTTCTGGTTTTATATACTGGCTGTTGTGTGCAGACAGCAGATTGCTGGAGCATCCAGCACATGAACTGGTGTTCACTGACACCTGGGGAAGATGGCTTTGGTTATGTGTAGGTGCCTGCAGCAAAACCATGGTTTTTTTCTGATACACAGACTGGTTTAGCTGGAACTCAGGCCTGGTAACCTGTCCATCTTTTCTGTAGAGAAATATTTGTGGTGTGCACTCCTTTAGGATTTCCTACATGAGCTTGTCCCTTACATAAACGTGCTGGTACTGAAGTTAGGTGGGCATTAGTAAAGGGGTGAAGTTAGTTCATCCTGTTAGGGGAGAGAAAAGGATCCCCTTTCCCTTCTCCATCAGAATCAGAGTGGCTTTCCATTGTGTGACTGGCAGACAGTCTTTTGGATTGCTTTCTCTTTGTTTCTTAGACCTGCTCAAATCCTTACAAAGTAGTTTTGGTGTTGGTCCTGAAAAGTTAGAGGTAAATCTTAACAGCAGAGTTGACAAAACTATGCAAAAGAGAATGCAAACAGGCAGATAGCTGTGCAGGTGGAAAGCTACCCTGATTTCAGAAAACTATTTCAGCTGGATTGGTAGGGAGTGTTTTCAGCAACCCAGGGCATTAGCACTGGAGCTCTCTGCTCAGGGGGAATATTTGCTGTCACATCATTCATTTCCCTCTGGTACCCAGAGCCAGGCACTGGCCCAGTAATAGCCTGATGTGTGCTGCTCCCTGCTCTGGAGCCACAATCCAGCAGTGGGACACACAGCCTCTGAAAGTGGAGGCAGTGAGGAGGCCTTTTGGGTGCACAATTGCCAATACAAAAGAGGAGGATCTAATTATATATATATGTATAAAATATGATAGCACCTCTCTTTACAACACACATTGAGATAAAATAATGGAATGTCTCATTTTAGTTCACCTCTGCAATAGAAATCCTTTGAAGCTGCTTTCTCTGGTATAATAATAAGAATGTTGTGAAGACTTGAGTTTCTATGGACTCACCTGTCTATGCTTCAAATAGGATAAAGGGGAAAATGTATTTACTGTGAAAACTGTATTTTGGGCTCTTTGATAATGCAACTGAAGTGCTTCCTCAAAAGGCAGAAAGGAAGTCTGCAATGTCCAACAAATCCCAGTTCCTGCTGTTGTCTGCTAACCCTCAGCAAGAGATCATCTCTTTCCCTTCCAGGCTCTGCACAATTCAGTTTGGCATCACTGTGCCAGTGCTTAAATACCAGCATGAACTGCAGCACCTCAGAGGCCTTTTGCACCCAAACATTCAAAGTTTTGAGGTTTTTGGTGAGGGGGCAGAGGAGGGAGATTAAGAATTGAAAGCGACTGAAACAGTTAAGGAACATTTTGGTGACTTTGGAAGGTTTTGTGTCAAATTGCTCTGGCTGGACACTGGTGCTTCTGCTGACACTGAGCTCCCTCAGTGGGCAACACTGGTGTCCCCACAGCTGTACCTGTAGCTGCCAGTACTTGCTGGGAGGGAAATATCAGGATACAGCAGGGTGTCAAGATGTGTGGCCAATTTCAGGCCTCCACAGTCGGAGTCAAAATAAGCATACAAAAAGTTTTTCTGGTTTCTCCTTGGCTTGCTTTCTGTCCCTGCTATCTTGGGTATCCTTTGGCACACCATTAAGCAATGCAATTCCATATTGTGCTAAACTCCTTCTTACATTCCTGGGGCTTTTCAAAAACCCAAGAGGCAATATCTTATTCTATCAGCTTCTGCTGCATTGGGCTAATTTAAATACAGTCCTACTGTTTTCCATCCTTGTTCAGTTCTGCTGGAGGAAAATATCAAAATGCTTACCTTATACACTTTATCTTCCCTGCAGTACAAACACCTGGATTTTAGTGAAGTACTAGCTTAGCTCTGTGTCTCCTTGCAGGTATAATTTCACCTTAAGAACTGATTATTTATTAGAAGAGCTGCCACATTACCACCTGTCACAAATGTGTACTATTACAGAGCAATCAGAACATCTATTGGACCAGAGGGTGAGCCTTGGGAGTGGCTCCCACACTCCCCAGGCTGGGGACAATTCACCCAACAAGGTGTCAGCAATGACTTGATCTCTTCATTGCTCAGCCTGTGGCCCATTCAGTGGCTTCAAGAAAACTATTCTGCCCTGCATCTTATCTTCCTCACCTGTAAAATAAACAGTGGTGATTCTTCACTTCCTTGCTACTAAGCTAGATTAATAAATTTCAAAAAAACTCCATTTTGAGCTCTTTGCTGAGAAGGTACTGAAATAATTCAGAGTTATCTAATTAGATACAGCATTGTGCTGCCAACCAAGATGTTTTCAGCTGAGCCAGTCCATTATGTTACAGAAATTCATAGGAAGATGAAACACCATGGAAAGTTAAATACTGAAAGACTACCAAAGAAAGTGACTGGATTTTCCTTTGTCTAGAGGCCATTGGGTAATGCTATCAGGAACAAGAATGGAAAACAGGGGAAGTCATGGGGGGCTTTCCCTGGTCTGCCTTGAGCTTCTGGTAAGCTGCAGTTTAGGGACGACCTCAAGCAATGATGTGCATTTGGACAATCACGTTTAATCAGCAGTGCTGGGGACATTTTCCACAAACTTGTCCAATAATTTTGTTTCTTAAGCTATTAATAGCATTGAGTTCTGGTTTAATAGGTTGTTGTGTGAAAAGAGCACTTCCTTCTGCTTCAAACTTGCCTTCTAGCTTTGTTTGGTTCTCCCTATTATTTCTTGTGCTTATAAGAAACAGTGATTCATCTCTTCCTTACATTCCCTGGCTTGCTTGTGATTTTAGAGACCTTGGGCATATCTTCACGGCCCCTCCTCGTTGTTGTTCCCTTCTGTGCAGGGAGTCCCATTTAGCAGGAAAGTGCAGGTTCCAAGCCTAGCACAGGGATTTGGCAGCAATCTGGAATTTGATGTTTTTAATCAAAGCTGTGCCTTGCCTGTGCTTCCAGGTTCAGGCAAGTGGTTGCAGAGTACGAACCAGAGGCGCAGGAAGTATCCCGGCTCTTCCGCTCCGTCCTGCAGGAAGCTGCTGAGAAGATCAAAGAGGAGGAAGAGGCCAAGAAGCTTGCAAGGCAGTGGAACACAAAGAACAGAACCAGCCTCTCCTTAACAACATTTAAATCTCGGTCCAGGATCTCTCCATTCATCAGTGACATCAAGACCATCTCTGAGGATGTGGAACGGGGCACCCAGCCCAACAGGAGGGTTTGGAGCATGCCAGAATTTCGGAACACCAAGGACTTCTGACTCTATACTCAATAAGGTTTTTAGACACTGATCTTTCAAAAGCCCAGTTAACCCTTTTTTAATTCTACTGTTCTTTTTTCCATCTCTCTTTTCCTGCCTGTCTCTGTCTTGGAAGCTGTGTCTGTAGTAACCGCTGCTGATGCCTGCAGCCTGTCACACCATTTATTACCAAACATGGTAGCCTTTCCTGTAACTCAGTAGCTGTTCAGAACCTTAAGGACCTTAAGGCTCATTTACTATCTCCTTTTTATTACTGCTTTCTTGTGGAAAATGAATTAGTTTTGCTATGTCTGTCTTCTCCCTTTCCCCTCCAGCCTGGATGTAGTTATCTATAAAAACTTTTGGCTCAAGCTACTGAGAGCTGCTGGCTGCACCAATCTTGCTGAAAGCAAGACAGCCACTTAAATGAGTGAGGCTTACAGGATCAGGCTTGTGAGCTAAAGCTAGTATCTGATTTGGAACTGAACTTCCTTTTCCAACTAATAGCCTTCCTCAGTGCTACAACAAACTTCACAGGTAACCTCAGCACTGCTCTTGATCCACTTTTTTTGCTGACAGTTCACAATCCAACCCGGGTAGAAACAGACCCAAGCTTTTTAAGATTAAAGCCCAATCATGTTCCACAACCACCAGTGTATGCATGTTCAAGTTTCTTGGGTACTTTCTCTTTTGTGCAGGCAGAACCCCCAGAACTTTGTACCTGCAGAGCAGATAGAAATGTATCACCCTGCTGTGTAGATACAGAGGTGGATACCTCAGTGCTGTGTCAAGTGCTGTTCTGAGGCCTCAGTGCTCTGTGTTGGTGAGCTAAGTGCTCTACCCTGCACCCCAGAAATTTATGTTTATGGCCAAGCCTGAAAGAGGGCTGAAGTAGACTATCCATGTAAAGGGAAGGGTGAAGGGACTCAGCATTTATCTCCAGGGCTCTCTGTACAGTGGCAGCAGTTGAGATCATGTGAACTTTTTGCTTCTGTGAGTGACTGAAGGGCTCTGGCAGATGAAGGTTCTTGTGAGACCTTGAAGAGACAGGAGAATGCCACTAAGGAAAAGCTGCTAAGGCCCTAATTCAGCATTGGCAGGGAGAGCTCTCACCAGCAAACAGCAGGGCGCTCTGTGAAAGTCAAGTGTCCTGCAGAGAACCCAGGGGCTAGGATGCTTTGTGGTGACCAAGGGGCGATGGGGAATGAAGAGAGGGACTTGCTTGGATGACTGGCTGCTGGGGAATCATCTCAGTGGGGTACAGCCTCCTGGAGGACCCTGTAGCTTTGTTGTTCTTTTGTCTGTTTCCAGCTATTTTTCCCTGGGGATCTTTGCAACAGCATGTGGGTTCTACAGCCAAGATTAAAACCCTCTGAAGCTGTGCCAACTCTGGGAAGAATTCCAGTGCATGAAATCTATCCTAGACTAGAAATGTGCAGCTTCTTCCAGAGATGGAGGAAGGCAGCATAAAACAAAGATCAAGATCAACCCCCTAGAGCTCTCTGAGACTGGGATTCTGACTCTTCCTCTCTCCCCTCTGGGCTATGTAAGATTGAAGACAAGGCTTTCTTAGCAGCAGCAGGCTACAGTTTCTATCCCTTGGTAAACATTGCTGCCAGCAACCCTCCTAGGGACAGAAAGCAGCTCACTTTTAATCAAAAAGTCGGGGCTTCCAAATACAGCATCCAGTTTGGGACAGGCTATTCCAAGTTTAGGTCAGTGAGGGAGAGTTTAAAGCCTTCTGACAATCAGCTTAGTGTTTTTCAGCCATATGTCCTTGTGAAGTAATGTGATTGTGTACATGAAGTAAAAACCAAGGCTAGACATACTTAGCATAACCTTAGCTGTCTAGAAGATGTAGGATCTCTAGCAAGGGGTCACCACAATTTGCAGAAACAATTCTTGTTTGGAAAAGAGTCAGCCATATTTTTTTTTAATATATTTGCAAGCCACTGTATGGTACTGAAGACTGAGATGAGTTCATCAATTTCATGCTGCAGCTCTGTTTTCATTTTATTTGCACTTATGTTCTGTTTGGCACCTTCAGTATTGACTGCATCGATGAGATGTTTGATGGGGAGACACGGGACCTTCTGCCACACTGCCACACAGCTCTTTGTTACAGCACAGTGTCTGTAGCATGCTCACCCTTTCTAAGGAGAATCAGCAGTAAGTACCTGCCCTGCAGCAATGCTGTAAGCCAAGGAAATCCCTGATGGGTGTTCACACTATCACAGTGGCCTGTGATTGTGCTGTGTCCAGCTGGCAGACACCATTCTGGTGCAGCCAAGGAGACAGAGCTGACCTTTGGTCAAAGCCCTGCATGTTATGGAGACCAGGCTGGGGCACTGCTTGTGACAGCTGTTTTGCCTCAACTTACCTATCATTTATAATTCCACAATAAAATGTAATCCAAACTCTTGAACAGTAGTATCACTGTCCCTGTACCCCTTCTGGAAGTTACACTGGGCTCACAGTGGGATCTGATGGTAGAGGGATGTTCAGATACCAAGCTAGGAGAGATCTGTTCTTTCTCCATGCTCTCTAGTACTCTTACAGGGGTAGAAGTGGTACCATGTTTGCCTGCAGGCAGCTGCTTGGAGATGACTGAACTCCTGCATTGTGTGTGCAGCAGCAGGGACTGAAGCAGAGCTGGGAGGTGATCAGGGTGCACGACTGCTGTGCTGCTTCTGGTGCTTATTTTTCTTAGAAATGCTGTACACTGAACCTTAAATGATCCTTTGGTCTCAGCATGCAGCAACAACTGTGCACTCATGCTTGCCTTGTCCTAATTCCACATTTGGCATGGCTAAATTGGTGTCAGTTCAAATGAGGAGCATGAAACTCCTGACTGTCCCCACCTACTGTGCTATGGGCCATGGCACTGGGCACACACAGCAGGCCAACCAGATTGTTTCTGGCTAAAGCCAACCCAAATGATCCATTGCAGGTGGCTCACAAACCATAAATCTGCACTAATGGTGGTCTGAAACAAACTCATGAAACTTGTGTAGTGTGAAGATCAGGTCCTCATTGGTAGCTGTCTGACTCCACAGCTCTGCTCCTCCTGGGCTGCACTACTTGCTAGTGTAGAAAAACAAACAAAAAAGTCTTGATGAGACCCTCTGATGTGTTTTTAGCACCTCCTGAGAGCTTGTCCTGTGTCTTAATTCTTTAAGGACAATGAAACATTAACTATCAGCACATCATCGTTAACAAGCAGAAGTGAACTGGACAAGAATTATTTTAAATCCTCAAACTTTCTTTCAGAAGGCTTTTGGTATCAGCTCAGAGCATCACTGTGGCCCCGTTGCTGACAGTGTTGTGCTGTCCAAAGGACACTGTCACACCCAGAAAGAAGCAGTCCTAGACTTGCTACGCCTGCTAAAAAGTAATGGCAGCAGCTCAGCCACACTGCCCAGCTTCCAGGGGCTGGCACTCCTTAGAGCCACTGCTCTCCTGAGGGAGCTGTGCAGCCCTGCTTCTGTGGCTTCTAGAGATGAGCCTGGTCACGGGCTGTGCCAGCCAGAAAGGATGTGCAGGCAGGGGCTGAGGTTCCTCACCCACAGCAGCTCAGAGTTCAGGCACCTGTCATGCCATGGGGAATTGGAGTAAGCTCTGAGGGAAATACCTGTCTGCTGACACTGCACTGTTTATACATTTCAACACAGAACCTTGGAGAATTAAAGCAAAGCTGTGGAATATAAACCAATTTATCTGTACTTGTTGTCTGTAATTAAAGGTCTCCTGAAATATAATCTGTCTATATCTAGCCAAACACAACAGCTGTTCCACTGCCCTACTGTGTATGTATCAAAGCAGGAAGGCACGAGTGCTAAAGGCACTTGATCTAAACAAAAAACCTCCATCCTCTCTCTACAGGTACACATGCAACTGCCCACCTTCTATCTTGCCACCTCTACAATCACATCTCAAGATATAAGGTGATAAATAACCATTTATTTAACCAGGATTAAGCAATTGCAAAGGTCTGAAGTTCTCTGAAGCTACATGGTCTGCAGGTACAACCTTGAATCAAAGTCTTCATCAACATGAACATGCTTCTGAGCACGTCCTACATGAACCAGCATCATCACAAAAGGAGATGACAGAGAGACAAAATGGGTGTTTTGTCTCCAGATACTTTTGAGTCACTCTGTTGATTCCATACCTGATCCTGTGTACTGGAACACTTCAATATCAGCAGATGGCCCCAGATGGCTCAGAGCTCCCTGTGCTAAGCAACATATATACAAAGCATGCATGTGTTTTTAGCAAAAGGGAACCATGTTTTCCCCACATGAGGTATTACTGAAGCATGAATTGCATTGCTTAGCACACTCTGCACATCAGACAGATGAATGGTTCCAAAAGGGGACAGGGGGTTAGTAAACCACAGTGCTCTAGACACAGCCTATAGCACACAGTTACTCCTTGCCTAAAGCTGTGGGCAAGCAAATCTGTGTTGTTGCTTACACCACTTTCCCCAGACACTGCTATAGGTTTCTCCTAGAAGGAAGACTACAGTTTTACTGAATGGCCACTCTGATATTCCTGTGTCCTGCTGCACCTCCCTGCTAGAGGATATGGCACTGCAAAAAAGCATTCTTACAAGAGCTGGACTGCATCAGTCACAGCCCTCCTGGTGTGCCCTGCAATAGAGGAAGGGCTATCAGGCCTCCCTCAGTGCCACCCACCTGTGCCAGGCAAAGACATCATAATTTCAGTGCCTGCCTTTCCCTGGTACTGCTGTCTGTGTGAGGGCTGCTGGCACAAGGGACCTCTTGTTCCCTCTGCATGGTCAGACAAGCCACGTCTCAAGCTGCCTTACATCACAGAGATGATCTGCTGGCCCTGAGTGCTGGGTCTTGGGCCCAGGTCTCCCCATGACTACCAGGTATTTTCTGTGCATTTCCTGCACAAAGATATTCTCAGACAAAGGGAAAAATCCTTACAGATGAGATCTTAAAAAACACAACAGAAAGGTGAGAAAGAGACCTGCAAGGACACACTGTATACACTGTCACTGGACACTTTGTAATATTATAAATCCTAGGCTAGGATTATCCCATATAGCATCTTACCTCTATATTTTAGCCACAGACAGATGTTGCCTTTACCAAATAAATGTAATGTAACCCAGGAGCAGAGACACCAAAGTGAGGAAAAGAGCTTCTGTGTTTTTGACATCAGAGTACCTGCTCTCAGAATGTAATTACTCTTACATCTGGTTAGTGTTCACAATGCTGTCCTCAGAGCCCTCTATCAGGTCACAGTCCATCTGCAGTACTTTTCCAACCTGATTCTTTCCAGTGTCAAGTGACTTAAAGCAACAGATTGCACTTTATTTGGCCTGAAGACTATTTAAATAACCAGATGTGTAAATCAGCAGTGACACTGAAATATTTCTTACATTGGAGAGTTTTCCTTCTGTATTCTGGCGCTGGTATTTAGGAGCTGGAGAAGAGCAGAGTGCAGTTTCTGGAGAACTCAGCAGCCCCAGGTAGGGTGATGCACCTTCCAGGCCCCTGCTGGCTCTCAGCAACCTGCTCCTGTTGAATTCAGCTACTGAGAAGTTAAAGGATTCCTTCTGCCTTTGGCACACAGGCACCAGCAGAAGAGACTATTGTCTGTCCTCAGCATAGCCAAGGGCAAGAAAGGAACAAAGACTGCATTAAATTCATAGGACAGCAGTAACACATGTTCCCCATAAACAACCATAATTAGGAATTTGCGAGCTAATTATAGGGTTTCAGAATAAGAAAGTGCAAAGCCAATGTCCAAAGGTAAAAAAAAAAAAAGGTTTCTGTGACATTCCAGCTGGCCAGCATTGCCACCTACCGGCAGATATTCCAGCACCGACCAACCTGGGAACAGGCGGCAGCTCAGGACAAATTCCTCACTCCCACACCACTGTTCTGTCACCCCAGAGCAGCTCACGAGTGGGGAGCAAAGTGAACACCAGAGATGCTGGCCCTGGTGCTCAGTGCCCGAGAGGAAGATGGCAGCAGCTGCCACCATGGACACGGTGCCTTTCAGGCTGGGTGGGAATGATGCTCCTCAGGCTGCCCCAAAGGGCTCTCAGGGGCTTCCTCAGACCCCTCAGCACCGTGTCCTGCTGTCCCTCAGAACTACACCACTCACACTCCTGAAGCACAATTTAACACTGAAATTGAACAGGCAAGGAGAAAAAATACCTGTTGCCAACAGACAAATAAATCTCAATCTCTGCACTGGGCAGTAATTTTGAGGATTAATTTTGTCCAGAGATGGAACTAGTTAGATGGGTGCTTGCCAATAATTTTAAGAAGCAGGTCCTCAAAAACTCACCCTACAGCTTGAAATATGACCAAGTGCAAACTGGTTATATTCAGTTTCTCAAGTGTGCCCAGGACCTCATTCCTTCAGAAAAACCCACTGACATAAAATCCAGCCATTCCACAGAGTCCTCAAATGACAGTGGAGGTGCCAGCCTTGAGTGTTGAACCAGAACTTTGGAAACCTGTTTCTAAATACACACAGCAAAGCCCACAAGGAGTGTGTTGAACACATGAAAGGACATCAGAGCTCCACCAGCCACCAAGGCCCTTGCCCACACCAGGAAAGGCTCAGCAGGTGACCCCAGGGCCAGTCACTTGAGCCTCCCTGACCTCTGCTCTTCCCAGCATGTAGAGCTCACTCAGTTTTTCCTGCTGCAGAGGATGACTGGGAATGATAATAATGAAATGCCAAGTACATCCCAACAGCACAACCTGCCCAAGTTTAACCATACTGAGCTGTTACCAAAATGGCAGGCCCTGCTCAGCTCTGCAGGATGAGACACTTGAGCTCCATGGAGCCAGGCACTTCCAAGTCAAAGTGGCATTTATCAATATTGCCTCAGCTTTTCATCTCTGCTACGATTTTGTGTGGGCAAAAGAGTGAAGTTCAAGCCAACTCTAGAGGAAATGAGTAACAAAGGATTGCACTGCCCACATGAACTGGCTGGGACAGAACAAACAGTGCCAAGGAAGATGGGCATGGCAGCAGCAGCTCAGAGAACGTATCCTTTATCTCCTTCCCCTGACAGCGACTTCTGCTTCTGAAAATTCTGCTGCTAAAAAAATTCAGTTGAGTTCTGCACAATCCTCAGAATGGAAAGTGGTGCAGAACACAGAAGGTGAGTGTGACAGGGAAGACTGCCACAGACACACACACTCACACACAAAAGGCAGGTTTCACATCTAAAAGCTTTCTATTATTCAGCATTTTAGGAAGAACCTCAGCTTGCCCAGCCAGGTAAGCTTTTGCCTCATCACCTGACCTCTGCCCACTCCACAACTTCTGACAGCAGCCATGTCCCTCCAGCCCTGCTCACCTTTTCCACTGCTCTCTGTTCCAGCTTCACCCTTGCCCACGACATGCACTTCTTGGTAGACCTGGCAGCAAGTCTCTCTATCAGCCATGTGTGTTACCAGGTTAACATCCCACAGTAAACTGCCTCACATTTCCCTCATGCAAATTTCTCAACTTGATTTTCAGCACATTCTTGCTGTTGTAACCTCCTCACCTGGTGGTGCACCTGCCACAACAGGGATTGCAGCAGAATTAAGAAGCCAAGCTCTAGTGAAAGGGTCAGTGAAATGAACTTTTTCCCCAAGGGTGCAAGGCATGGAAAATTATTCAGGCTGTGCTCACTAGGGAGGGCTGGAATCTGTTGGCCTTTTCCCAACAGCAGATACTCAGTGCCAAGAAGATGCACAGGGTCTCACTGCTTGTGAAGAAAGATGGAGAAGGGAAGGATGCAACATGACTCAAGCCTCTTTAGAAATCTACATGGAGATGGGTAGAACAGAAAAGGAGGCTTACAAAAGCAGCAACTGCTGGAAGTTTCAGAGAGCACTTGTAACTGAATGGGCAGGAGAAAATAAAGCAGAATCACTGACACAGCATTTAAGCAGCTTGGCTTTGCAGAAGAAATGATAGCTTAGAAGTAAATGCTGGCACAGAAATATTTTAAAGCATTACCAAAGCATACCCAGCATGTCAAGAAAAATAAACAGAAGATTTCTCTGTCCTGAACACATACCACAAAAAGGTTTTGTAAGAAAAAGTAGTTTGACTCATTTTTGTACCATGAGAGACAACTACAAAAACCCAAAAGAAAGAAGAGTCCACATCATATTACTAAAGGCCCTTTGCCTTTTCCCTACTAATGCAGAACAGGGCAGGAGTTTTTATGATCTTGACCAAGGCAACAAAAAGCATATTATTTAAATTAAGTATGAACATTCCAACCAATGCAGTTCTTTACAACTGTGATTTGGGTTTCTCATTGCTATTTTCTTTCTATTTTCCAAATTTCTACTCCCCACTCCACACCAAGTTTTCCAAAATTACACTGTCTTTACATAAAATATAACCTAGGGAATGGGAAGGATGCTGTCTTCTAAGAGTGTGTTTGGGATTAACCTTGTTATGCAAAGTCCACAGACAAAAGCTGCTTATCTGGGCAAGACGCTTTGACATCACTAGCTAGAAAATACCAAAGTAGCACAAATCAAAGCATAATCCTCATGATAAATAAAAGGGGTTTTCTTGTTTGGTTGGTTTTTTCCCCCCAGTGACATTTCAGAACAGCGCTTTCAAAAAAACCCTTTTGATTGTTGGATTAAAAGTCAAGGAAACTCCATTTCTGACCTGGAGTTTTTGCAAGTTTTATGCTCATAAGGATGTACGGAGTTTCTCTGCTGGATCAGGGCTTTAGTCTCTAAAGAGTTGCATCTCTGCAACAACTATAAAATGCTTCACAACAAAAGAAAAGTAGGGAAAGGAGAGGATTCTAGCATCTTCAGAAGGTTTCACACATCAAAACAATTATAAAATTATCCCTTGAGCAATGGTACAAATCTTCAGGTTCACTTGAAAACACCATAGCAGACACAGACACAGTTTTCCATTTGCTCTTTAATGATCTCCCCCCTCTGACTGCTGTACACTTAATGTTTTTGTCAGTCAACTCCCCTTGAGTCCTTCCTTCAGGCATTCCCAAACCACAGCTCCTGAGGAGCACCTGCTTCCAGTGATTCCAGTGAACTCCCACAGCAGGGCCATGTACAGAGGGGCCTGCTGGGTAACCAAGACTCAAGGTGTGGAAGGGAGAGGGCAGGCACTGAGCTAATTACCACAGCTGGCACACCCACGAGCTGTGCTGGGCTCCTGCTGCCTGTGCAGACCTGTCTCATCTCCCAGTGGGCTGCCAGCAGACCTGTGGAGTCACTGTCACTGCCTGCCTCAACACCCTGCCACAGCTCCTTCTCCATCAGACTGAGGCATGTGCCTCGCTGCACTGCAAAGAGAGCAAGATTCGACACAGGCTCACAGGATCAGAACTGCAGGCCACAACTCCAGAGCTTTCAGCCTAGGAAATGCAACTCCAGATTTGGGGGGGTAAACCATCTCTTATGAACTGAACAACTGATTCAGATAAACAAACAAAACCAGAGATCTTTCCTGCTTCTACTTTAGGATAAAAATAATTTGCTACCATTATTGCTCTAGAGTATTTTGCTGTTACACTTTCTAATGAGAGAGCAATAAAACTGTCCAGAGAAATACCACATATCGAATTGTGAAAGAAAATAACATATTAGTGAATGAACTTTCAAAAAAAATCATTTATGTAAAAGGATGTTCTATTTACAAAGGTCAGTTTGCTCTTTATGATATGCATAACCACTACCAGAAAAAAAATATACATGAAAGAAACACCTCATCTTTCAAATAAACATTTACAAATACTCTGCTTAAGCTACTAGAAAAATTAAGACATTTGAAATTAAGAGTGCATTCTGCATGCAGTTAAGATAGAAATTACATTGCTGGATTTCAGTGTGTCACTTCTTATCACTGTGAACAACACACACTTAGGCTCTTCTAAAACACCACAGCCTGGCTATTACCTTAGGATCTCAAAAGGAGGACATGGATCTCCATGAACAAGTTATCAGCTACTCTGTGTTTTGCCATTAAGAAAGGACGTCCCGATTTTCTTCCCAGTAGGAGGGCCTGGTCTTGTCCAACTTGATGTCCTTTGCCCTGAGTTTCTCTTTAGTGTCCTGCTAGGATGATGGCTGGGTGGGCACATCTGGCAGTCCTTGGTGAGGGCTCCTCCTGTTACAAGGCAGAGTTCAGGAACTCCAGGAGCTGGGCACGGTTCCGGTCTCTCTGTCGAGCAGACAAGCAGAGGCACTGGTTGAACAGAGCTGTACTCAGCAGCAAGGCCACAGATCCCCGTTTTCTGTGGGTTTCCACATCCCAAAGCCAGTGCCATTGACACAGCTGGGTCCAACTGGTACCAGTGGGTGCCCAGGGGAAGTGCCAGGCAATGGGGACACAAGCTGTCACTATTCCATGAGACACTACCCAAGTGGCTCCCTAAGGAGGCTCCACTGGGCTGTCATGGTGCAGCTCCCAGCCTGCCCAGGAGGGAACTCACAGGCACAACAGAGGCTCCCCTCTGGTGGCTGAGGCAACTTGCACTGTACTCCTAGCAAGTCCTCAGCTTTGGGAAATATCTTTTTATCCCTGTGTATAAACAGCAGCTTATGCAGCATAACAGAACCCTGAATTTGGGTTCTCTCTTCCCAAAAAGAAGTGGCCCAACCAGTCAATTCCAGAGCTTTTTATAAAAAATTATTGAATCTTTAAACATTGTAAAGAATGGATGTTGTTCAATTCAGCAAGACCACAGGCCCAAACCAAAAAAAGGACCAACATCAAATATTTGACATTGAATACTGTAACCAGCAGACTTCTGGAACAAAACTAGCAAACATTCAGCATAATTTAACACACCCTTTGGTGTCACAGAGAGAAGATAACATGTTTTCAGTCCAATTTAACTCAGAATGCTCAGGACTGCTTTGGTAGCTGTAGAATGAACCACGAGGGCTGACCCTGAATCTGCCAAGCTGGATACCTCAGGGAAGTAACACTTCCTGACCAGCACCAGAGCCCTCTGCACGTCACCCTGAGGTGCTGGAGAGTGAAGGTATTTAAGGGCTGAGTCAAAACACCCACAGCAATAGCACACAACACAACTCATGGTTATTTATTTCCCTAGGTATCTCAGTAAAAACATTTGACTGCTCTAAGAAAATGCAGGAGGATGTGCAGTAATACAACTGGGATTTTAAAAATTCCTCTCTAAATAAAGGCTAGTCTTGCATGTGTTAGAAAACCACAGTGAAGTAGCAATTACCACAACTGATCACAAGAGACTGAAAGAAGATGAGTACAATTAGCACCAGTGTAAGAGAAAGCTACAAATTGCCTAATGATTAGAAGCTGAAATTCTAAGAACCTGCACAAGCATCCTTTGGTTTATCTGCTCATGACTGAGTATTCCAAGCCCCTTCATAACATAAAACCTGCCAAAAGAGTGAATTCAAATTTCTCAGAGGGCATCACAGCCACATTAAAAGCTACCCTCACTTTACAACTCTTAACTGCAAGACCCACTCTTCTACAAAAATTACTACTAGAAAAGATATTTAAAGATCCAGTATTTTTTCTCAGGGACATTTAGACTAATTAACTCTTACCTCTATATCTTCCTTAGTCTTCTTTATTTTCATCTTAATTTTCTTTCCGGTTATCATGCTGTAGTTTTCATTCTTCTTTTTGTTTTTGAAGAACTGAAATGAGATCCCATGTTAAAAAGACATAAGCTTTGTTCTGTACAAATCTCATGTAAAATTGCAGACAATAATCTTTTACACTTCCTTACTGTCCACAACAAAAGAGAGAGGTTTCTACTGGTTGATGACCAAGCTGGTGATCCTATAAACATTTTTATGACAGGACGGATTAAGTATGTAGGTGAGAAATAAAACAGGGCTTCACACTCAGACCAGCATACCTTGGAAAGCTGGACAGGGCCTGTTTTCTCTTTCCTTTTCTTCTTTTCCTTCTTTTTCTTCATTTTGTTCTCCTTTTTCCTTTTCTACAAGAAGAAGATATGCTCTTATGCTTACAGATTAACAAGGGTAAAATCCCCCAAACCCACCAGGATCTCTCAAGGCCACTCAAGTCAAGACAGACACTGCTGCTTGCCCTTACCACTGCTGGACAAGCAGTAGAAAGTAATGCACCAGAGCTAGCAACCCTTGGGACTCTGAGCAACAGAAAAGGTCTGATTCCCTGTTCTCTCTCTTTTAGAGTAACCCCAACATATAAAATCACTGAAAATTGAATAGAAAAATTACAACAGCAAGAATTTATGACTCACCAACTATAAATAATTTCTTCCGGCAAATTCTATAAAGTTATCAAGATTCCCCACTTCTCTTTTTTTTCAGAGACTACTCTAAATTCCAGCTGGACCAGCAATGATTGGCAATAGTAACTTAAATAATTTCTCTTTTTGTCTAAAGTCAAGTGCCCATTTATCAGTTCAGCTACCACAACCCTAAAAGCATGATTTAGATTTATACAGCCACAGAAAAAAGCCCTGTCTTACACATTTAAGGTTTTTGAAATATAAAGAACTGTTTTGTTTGTTAACTCCTTATTTCTCTTTGTAAACTTTTACCTTTTTGTTGTGTTTTTCTTTTTTCTTCTTCTTTGACTTAGACTTAGGAGAATCTAAAATTGAAGAAAAAATTAATAACAAAATCAAACACTCAGTTTAGCATTGTTAAAAAGGCATTTGTTTTACAGATAAGACAGAGAAATGTGAAACAAATGAAGAGAGTGCTTTAGTTCAGCTATATGTATCGACACAGCTTGAACTAACCCTGTGAAAGAGAACACCTTAAGTTACTGCCACTTACTGGGCTAACATGGAAGCTGAAAATACCTGACTTACTGATGCTGCAGATGTGTCAGCTTCACCTGAGTCCTCAAAGTTAAATGCTTGAAATGTTAAGACCAAAGGAGGACTAAAGTCAAACCCACAACTCTGGTCTAGATAGACCGGGGAAGTAAAAAAAGATCTGTGTTTTGAAAATGCAGCAAACTGAGGGGCTTAAATATATGTAGCATATTTTTACCAAGTAACATTTATTTGAATGGCAGTTTGTCTTTAGAAGGAATTCAAATTAACATAAGAACATTGCAAACTGTGTGTGAACCAGCACCTTTACATACAATAGGAAAGGGTTATGAGAGAAACACCCTGAACAAGCAGCACTGGTATTCTGCACTATCACTTTGTGGTGGTCTCACCACTTCTAAAACAAGCTTTAAATGCTCTCAGGAGTGCTATCAGAACTGGAAAACACCATGTGCATGTGCAGGTAGCTTACCTCTACTACTGCTGGAAGAAGATGACCTTGATGAAGAGCGTGATGAGGAGGAAGAAGTGGATGTACTGCTAGAAGACGATGTGGATGAAACAGATGAGGATCTGCTTCTGCTGCGCTTTCGTTTCCTTTTTTCTTTTCCTTAGGGCAACACAGGGCAACAGTGACAAGCCTGCTAATGACTGTAGCCTACTGAAATGACTCTCAGTAGAATTTAAACACAATAAATCCCTGTTTTGACAGGTTGGTTGTGTTTTTCCCTGCTCTTCCAGTGTGCCATGGTCTACGGGAATCACCAAGCAAGCAAACCCAGTAAGTGACACAGAGGGTGACACACAAACCAACACCAGAGAACAGCAACAGATCACAGCACCTACCTCGGGCCTTCAGCCCTTCTTCTGAGGTTGCACACAGCGTCCTGCTTTTCTCATCCTTCCTGTTATCCATATCTAGTCAGAAGCAAAAGGACATTCAATAATATATTGAATTGTCTATTTCCAAAAGACTTTGGCGGCGGAGGGTAAATTCAGAAGCAGAGGAATCGAACCAGCACGCCTGATGGCAGCGCCATGGAAGCACAGGGTGGGACAGCTTGGAAGGAACCACAGAGGGTCCCTGGTCCCACCTCCCCGCTCCAGCAGGGCCATCCCAGGGCACACGGCACAGGAGCACATCCCCCTCCATGACACCGCACCCCACTGCGGGGGAAAGCACGTTCATGCCCTTGCACCAGGAACCGGAGGCCAGACCCGGCTCGGGTGCCGCTGCCGCAGACGCCAGGGGGGTTTTACCCACACCTACGTGTCGGGCTGTCACTGGATCACGGATCCCGCCCACGGCCCTCGGCGGCCGCACCCCGACCCGGCCCGGCCCGGCCCGGCCCACCCTTCCCCGGCCGCCCCGGGCCCCCGACCCACCCGCGCTGCGGCGGCCGCCGCCCCGGCTCCGCCGCCCCTGGGCCGGCGCCGCCCGCGCCCCGGAAGAACTGGGGGTGCCCGCCGCCGCTTCCTGCCCGCCCTCCCTCACGGCAGCCGCGGGCACAGGGATGGATCGCGGTCCCCGCTCCGCCGCTTCCTGCCCGCCCTCCCTCACGGGGACCGATCGCGGCCCCCGCTCCGCCTGCCTGGGCTCTGCCCTGCCCAGCGTCCCCTTCCCGCTGCACAGCACCGCGTTCCCAAGCGCGCCGCAGTCGCGGGATTCTGGAACAGTTCCTGTTCCTGCTCTGAACCGAAACAAATCCAAGCCCTGCTGAGCCCAAAGCCGGCCCAAGCACAAATTGTCATCGCAGTGCAGCCTCAGACCTCGAGGATATTCATCTGATCTAGCTTAGGATTTACTGAACTTGCTCTGCGATATCCAAGTGCAAACCAAAATACCCGTGAAGCACATTGATTCCTAATCTTAAGCAGTGTTGGTTTTTGTTATTTTTTTTTAATTAGTGTAAACAAACGTCCAGTACTCCACATCTTTAAAAGTCTCCTTCAGTCCAGCCAAAAACAGTCCCTCTAGAAGGATGATAAAATTATTTATTCTTACATTAGTTTATGTACACAGTAAAGACATTCGGCTAGAAAAATGCCTCTATTGTAGTAAGAGATATTCAAACAACTACAAACTATCAATAAATACATTAGAAACATATGGTATGCTGATGTAGAAATACCCTATGCTCTTTTGGTTACTTACCCGGTACAATATTATTGAAAAGTTTTTTGGTATTCTTCATGCAACATCAAAATTCTTCCTGACAGTTCATGCTATACAACATTTTTTCTTTATTAGGAATGGGATGAAATTTAAAACCCTGTTTACAAGCAGTAAAAAAATCACTGAAATTTTTAACATAAATCTCCTAATTTCTGTACTAAAAAGAACAAATTTAAAGAAGGTTGTCTTTAAAAAAATTAATCTTCTCAACTAATTCTTTATAAAATAGGCAGTATTTCAAAAGGGATGTTTCCATCACCCAGAATGAATTTGTGCTTCAGAATTTTAAAAAGAATATTCATGGCGAGAACCTAAACCCAACCAGTAGGTAGAGGAGAGACTGCAGCAGGAACTGCATAAAACCAAACATGCTTCCAAAATCTATCTAGGAAAACACTAAACACTTATCCACATCACTATGCCATCACCTATTCTAACAATTAGAAATGGAGTTGTAATAATACTTAGCTCTTTTCATGCTCAAACTTCTTCACAAACATTTAAATAGCCCTAGTGCTTCTGCAAGTATTATTCCATTTTACATTTGGGGTGGTGGAGGCAGAGAGGGCTGGGAATTTGCCAGGATACAGACCACACACATCCTTTCCATCTTGCCTCTCTTGCTTGTCCTTTATCACTTTCTGTATTGAACACACAGTGTCCTGGAGAGCCCCAGGACACAGGGATGGTACATTCCCATCAGTTGTTAGTGGTTATTATGGAAGTTGTGTCACTTTGAAGGTTACATGACAAAAATTAAAGTAATGAGTGACATGAAATCCAGGCTCAGGGTTGATGTCACAGAATGGCACACCACTGTCAAAACAAGCCTGCTCTTTCTGTAACCAAGTGTTATGCCTAATTCATTCTGTTTTACAGCTGAAATGACTCCTGAGGTCAATGGTGGAGGTACACAAGAATAAATTTGTTCCTCACAGTCTGTCCCCGGGAACATGGAAAGCCCCTATGGTGGCTCAGTACATCTTGACATTATAAAACAAAAGGACTTCTAGATCAAAACAAAGATTTCCCATGTGCTAATCCACCAGGAGGTACAGATTACTAAGGTCTCTTCCCCTCCACCCCTGAGTTAGAAAATACATGCGTCTGAATTATGCCCTGAAAACCATGTGGGAAAGTGAATGTCTAGCAATAAGAGTGCAGATACAAAATAAAGTACTTTGCCTTCATCTTGGTATCAATCCTTGAATTATTTAGATTCTTATCAACATCCCTCATGGGAAGGGTATTTTTCATTTTACCACATTTGCCCTCTTGAATTTTCTATCTTATGCCTTTCAGTCCGTGCCCTGTTTTGATTTTTATCCTGCCTAGTTTACTCTTACTTCAAAACCAGATTAGTTTCTTGCTGTCTCTTGATAAGCTTTGGAGCAATGGATAATGCTGAGGTGTTTCCCTGCCTGACCTGCAAGAGATGAGAGATGCAAAATTCTGCCACTTGTAATAACAAAATCACTGAGCATGCAGAATTACATCCCTCTTACAGGCACCCAAAGGGCTTTAAAAAGGCACATGTGTTCTGTGTCATGTGTTCCTCAGTGCCTGACCTTGGTGGCTTTCGTGTGTCTCCAATAAACCCTGTACAATGCACACATTCCTTTGCAATATGGAAGGAACTTGGAATAAAAATTAAGATCTTCAGACATCACGGTCAGCAGCTGTGTCATCCTTTAACAAACACTAAAGCTGCACTGATTGTCAAAATTGGCTTCTTACAGCAACCTCACTCCCTAATCTATTTTCCCCCTTTGCCCAAACTTCTAGGAGAGAGGAAAAGTGCATGTTACATAAGTGAGCTATTCCCCAAGCTCTTCCTGCCTTTTGTAGAGCTGGTAAGGCCAGAAAACATCTCTTTTGCACAGATGTGGAAGCAAAAGAACAGGAGTTTTGGCCCTCCTCCAGCAGTGCAGCCAGGAGCTGGCAGGCTGGCTGAGTGCCCTGCCTCTGGCCATGTCCTGAGAGGTGAGAAGCACCTGCAGCTTTTGGCTTCAGATGGGGACTGTGGATGTTTACCACCAATGGAAACCAGTCCCAAGGCACTAGGCAGGAGTGGAAAGGACACAAGAGAGCTGTTGTGACCTGGGGTACTCTGTACAGCTGAAAAAACAGGCTAAACAAGTAAGAGGCATTGGCTCCTTCCTCCGGGCTTTCTGGAAAAACACGATTAAAACAAATAAAAAAAGATACAAGATACTTGGCCAATGTTTACCCTGCCTGACTGAAGCCATTCTCCCTGCTTCAAAAATCCAGGAGATGGAGGGATCAAGACACATTGATTCAAATTTGCTAATGTTGAAATGTTTCCATTGCAGACAGATGAAATGCACTTGCATGTTTGGGCATGGCTTCACTTCTGTGTGAGGGAGAGGAGCCCACAGGCCTGCCTGGGCTCCTGGGAATTTACTGGAGGAGGTTCATCTCCAAATGGCAGTCTGGGGATGGGAGCCAAGCATTCCTCCCAGCCTAGACTGAACCAATCTGGATTGAATGTATCTTTGCGCCAACCTGGACTTCTAGCCTTAAAAATGCAGTCTTGGAAAAAAGGGTAGAAAAGGAAAGGCTGATGCTTTGGCAATTCTTTATCTGTCCTGTAGTCCAAAGCCATGAAACATTCTCAGTAGCTTGACTGGTGGCAATTTGCTATTGCATGGCTGGTGCTCACCACAAAAGCAGCAGTCACGTTGACTGGGCTTTTCACAGTTCCTCCAGGTCAGTTAGATCCACGACCACTTTCAAGAAGAGAGTGTCATCTCTGATGTAGGTGTTCTTTGTGCTCTCCAGGACGGTGTGCGGCACAAAGCGCGGACAGCCAGAGGCGATATTCATTTCTCCATCTGGCCTTTTGAAACTGCTGCTGTTGGGATCAGCTCTAAAGACTTCCACAATGTGATTTTTTTTCCCACTTTGGTCCAAAAGCATAAGTGTAACCTTCTGCTTGAATGGCCACAGCAGCAGCGAGTCAAACTCGCCCCTCATGACCACGAAGTAGAGGGAGATGTGGGTTCCCTTTCCTGAGCCGTCCCCGTTCAGGTAGGCTCTGGCACACAGCCTGTACCCGCAGCGGCTGGTGTAGAAGGGCTGGCTGGCTATGGACGGCACACGGCCCTCCACTGCCTCTCTTTTCTTCTTCTTGTAGTCCGTGATTTTCCAGATTAATTTCCCATTGTAGCACGTGCCTTCCAAAAGCTTAAATCGTTCTTCGTTTTTATTGAGCTGTGCTTTGTGATTATTGATCTGGCGATCATGTTTGCTGGATTGATCTTCCAAAACAACTGAGAGAAGAGGGAAATAAAAAGAAATAGAAAAAAGAGAGACACATTTGGTAAAATAAAACCGTCAGAGCCCTGGATAAAACGAGCACCCAGGCTCAAGATGGCAAAACTGATCTACCCAAGTGTGAGTACAGGCTATGAACTACAGCTGTTAACTTTTTAAAACTGTAATTGCAGCAGCTGGTAGTTGAATAAGAAAAGCTGTCGACTATAAATCGTGAATGCCTGAATAGCACCATGGCCTCCATCACAGTGCAGGAGCCAAACCAAGGCCAGCTCTGTGGCTCTGTGGCCCTGCAGTGCCATCGGAGTTCAGGAGACACTGCAGTAGGGAAAGGTGGGAGAACACCGCACACACCATCGCAGTTTGGTCTCAGAATGCAAGAAGAAAGCCCTTTCTAGTGAAGAGCTCCAACTGCCCGAGTGTAGCACCAGAACCCCCACTTAGCCAGCAGTAAATCAGCAACCCCCCACGTGTGCAGGGAAGTGCCAACATACCCAAGCGCTGGTCGTACGTCTCCATCAGGGCAATCTTCTGTTTCACGGTTTCAATGGTGTCAAACAGGGGCCGCAGGTCTAGTTTACTCTGCTGCTGGTTTGCCATCTGTATTAGCTGCTTCACTTGTGATTCCAGGCGTGCAGACTTGTCCAGGTGACTGGCCAGAGCCTTCCCAGTTCATGCCATTGGAAGAGGGTGGGAAGTAGAGACAAGAGATATCCATAAAACCAGGCATTTGCTTTGAATTAAGATAGTGAAGTCTTTAGCATGTCAGCAGTAGCAACAATGTGATGCATTCAAAGTGCTCTGCTGGCTTAGGAACTTATCCCAATGCTCCTTCATGATTAATTCAGCACATTAACAGACTGAGAAGCCATTCCTCATTCAGAACCCATTCACACTGCACCACTTCATTCAGCTCATTATTCAAATTTACACCTGCACATTTGCCCTGGGCATCTGACCATGAGGATTTGTACTGTGCTTTTTTGCCCAGACATGTATCCAAACTTCTGTATCGATTAAAAGGAAAAGACAATACCATATTGTAAAAAAATGAGAAGATCTTGGGGAGATTTGTTACTGCTGTGCTATTAATAACAACAATTACTGGAGAAACATATTTCAGGATGCAAAAAAGCAATTGGTAAAAAAAGTAAAATCAATGTCTCACCTGAGTGCTTACCATCAAGTTGCTATTGTTACCAAACAGTTGTGTATACTGTCTGAATTCTTTCTCACACTTCTTAATGGCATCTGCTAGCTGCTGGATTTTAATCTCTTTACATTCCAGGCTCTTATACAGGTCAGATATCTACAGATGGAAAAATCAGAGTATAAATGCTAAGGAACATCAAAACATACGATGCAGAAATTATAATGTATCTGACTATATAAGAGACAGTGGGAAAGTTTACAAAGCAAATCCTCTAAGTGAGCTAGACAGAGCACTCCTTCATTCACTATTTGTGAATAAGCACTGGCAAGAACTGCACATAAGGTAATCAGACTCTTGAGCAGATCTGTGTGGCTCCAGGTGCAAAGAGGCTCCTATCTCTCATTTCCATCGTGATGATCCATTCAGCTCTATAGTGGGATAATATATACTTACATGCACAGGTGCATGTGTATGTATATGCATTTTTTTCCTCTGCTGATGTCTAACCAGCAGAAGAGATGACTCAGTGAGGGATACACACTTCAAAATCAACTCTTAGCAGTTTGGGACTCTTATTTCTTGCATAAACAAGCAAAGAGTAAGTCCCCCATCAACTCAGTTAACAGGACTGGGCCTACACCCAGTGTCTCCTGCTGGGAGCCAAAGAAGTGATCTTGAGCAGACAGGTGCCTGCAACTGGCTCTGCTGTCCTCTGTGCTGCCTCCACACAGAGCAGGTGACCTGGGCACCTAAAGGCTGCTTTTGGAGCAACCTGGCTAGTCAATTAAACTTTAAATTACTTTATCTCTAAACCTCAAATCCAGTGTAAAGCAGAGACTGAAAGCAAATGAGGTGAGCAATAGCAAGGAGCCTCCCACTGTGCCTGGTGGAGAATATATGTGCCTGAGCACACAGAGGTTTCCCTGTAATTAACTGGCTTCACTAGAAGAGCTTACTCTGTCTTCTGAGGTGTGAAAAACCTCAAAAACCATAAAAACAGTCTTTTAAAATGTACCAGGCAACAAATGTAGAATCTCGTATCGTCCTCTAACCAGTCAAGAACTGCTGAAGAGTGCTCATTAAATATGACTTACCTGCTCTTCCAGCCGGGAGTTCTTGTCTAAAATCTGCAGCATGTGTTCCCTCAGGGCACTGTTTTCATGTTCAGCAAGTTTCCCTCTTTTAACCTTAGTGAGGCAGAGGGGGGAAGTGAAAGAATAAAATAGTAAGATAAGCAGATTTGTGAAGCTGTTGGTAAAAAAATTATTGATGCAAACATTCAAAATGTCTCCTTTATGCCTTGAAAGGGAGGGAAGGGCAATCCTGATTCTCTAGTATTTCATCTTAGCCAGCAGAAATGGTAGTGAAAGGACATAAATTGGTTTTTTAATTATTCTGATGGTTTGGGAGACAAAGTCCAGTCCTGGTACAGACAAAGATGTGTAAAACAGTACCTTTACATGACAGCCGTACTGCTTGTATGGACAGTCCACTTCTGCCTCGGGACACACAGCGTGGTGCTTTTCAATCTGCATGTATTAATGAAGCAGTTTGTGATTAAATAAACACGTAGTCATTCAAAGCACTAATAAAATCTAAATGCCTGCAAAAAGGGTGAATAAAGGCCATTGTCATGACACCACCAATCACTTTACCAGAAAAACAAGTATTCAGAATCAATAAGCAAGCCAGGTATTTTTCCATGCTGCAAAACACCCATGGCTTGCAGTGACAGAAAAATCCACTTAGAAGATGGGAGATATATCCTTTTTAGGATCAAACAAAGGAAACTCTTAGAGCAATGAAATTTTATTGGCATGGGCTAATGTGGTCTGCAGCTTTCAGTTTTCATAAATTTATGTGATATGCTGAATTGCAGTATCAGAAAAAAATAATAGTACCTCTTTTTTCAGAATTATTTGTGAACAGTTTTGGAGACAAGGCACAGGATAATCAGGGCAGTCATTTTTCTCATGATTCTAAAGAAGAAGAAAACAGAACAAGGCAATGGCTTTCATTTTTGTAAAGTAGTATATACAGAGGAAACTATGCAAAAAGTAATCCCAAACATACAAATGCAAGTCACATATCACTTTGTTGTTCATAAGAGAGCATCAATAATTGGTATCATTTAAATTACATTTATTATACTTTCTCTTTCAGCTACTCAGCCAAATTTTGTTTCAGGAGTTAAGTGCTATTGCAATGCTGGAAACTTTTCACTCTGCAATATCAAGGGGAAACAGGTGATGGTTTCCCAGGAATGCTCCGTAATCTCACCTTTATGTTAATTAACACCACATGTGTATTACAGTACTGGCACCTCTCTTCCCGGAATTTACAGTGCTGGCTCAAGTGCTCCTTCAGGTCTTTGCGGAGAATTCGATCCTGACATCCATCATTAGTGCACTGCATGCTTTCAAACAAACACTGCTGCAGATGCTCCTGCAACACACAGCAGCAGGGTAAATGCCAAAGGGCCAGTGTGGTTCCCTCCAATCAACAATCACCTACGCATTCAGAATATGAATGAACACTGCGATTTACAAAGGCCACATAAAGCAAATGGTTCTTATTAAAAAAACAACACCCCAAGGCAAAGCTGGAACAAGCTAAAAGCTGTAATCTATGCTACTTACAGTGTATAGCTGTCATAATCCTTGTATTTGAACCAAATTGCTACAATAACTCTGAAGACAATCACGGGAATTTAGCTGATCATAAATACACAGAGCTGTCATGAAAATCAAAGGCTTCAAAATTTGATCAAGCAAACCAACCTGATATCGCCCCAGAATTACTTTTGAATTGCAGTCAGGAAAGTTTTTGCAGAACACATGCAAGTTGAGAACTTCTCTTTTACAGCAGTTGTCTTTGAATACCTGTAAAGGAAGCAAACCAGCCTTAATATGCAGTCACATGGGATGTTATAAATAATATAAAAGAACAAAGCATCACTACAGATCTTCTAGGTGTCAAGCACAGACACCATAATTGTGAGTATGGCTCTTGATAATTCATATTGAAAATTTGTATTGAAACTATAAATTCAGCCATTTATGACATTTCTAGAAAGCATAGGTTTTTTCTCCCCATGTAGTTATTCCAGAGATGCTGATCCATCCCACAGCCAGCAGGACTAGTAGCACAGGAGCTGTATAAGCACTGCCAGAGCCTGCCTGTATCTAGAAGAAAGCAGCTGGAGCTAACAGGCTCTGAAAGCCAAACCAGCTCTGTGCATGCTCCACTCTGTTCAAGCAGTGCCTTTGGGATGGAGGTGATGCTGAGATATCCTTTCTGTCACCTCTGAGAAGCAGCACTGTTCTCAGCTGTGTATGCAGAAGCAAATGAAGCTCCCAGAGCAAACTCTCAGCCTTATTTAGAGATCTTCCTCCATTGTTGTCATCAAAATTTGCAAGAAGTAGAAGATGAAAAATGAAAAACAAAAATACTGTAGATAGTCTGATTATAACTTCCTATCAGGATTAGGAGAGAGAGGAAGGAGACATTTTATTTCCCTGGAAAATTTCTGGCAGGACCAGTATATAGTATACTTTTAAGCTTTGGTATATAAATAAGGACAAATGAATCCATTATAAAACAAAACAACCAAAAGCAACAACAGCTTGCAAAATAAAAAGGATTATCTCTCTTTTCCTCTAAAAGTTACCCAAAAGTAAATTAGGTCTTCAGGGTTAATGAGATCTAATGGAGATAATCAAGAAATCAAATTATAGCCAAGTTAAAACGAAGACAATCAAATAAACAAGATATTCCAGCAAGACAGGGAATTTAAAAAGCAAGTCAGTAAAATCTCCTTTAAAAAACCATACATATGGTGACTTGGGAGGATTCAAAGGTTTGTGAAATTCTTGAACACTTTACTGGAAATACAGAGGACTAAAATGAAATAACTTTAGAACATGAGGTACAAAATGAAGCTTAAGCTAGACAGCCATAATCCCTTTCTGGGAGAGCATCACTGAGTAGACTGTTTCCTTAAGCATTATTTCAGAGACAAAAAACTGCTCTGCCCTGAGGACTGAAAGCCACCTTGTTCTCAGCTGCCTTGCCTTTCCCATGTAAATGCTGATTGCTGAAATAAAGCTACAGCCACTTACCTCATGCATTTTTATTGTTTCTTTGTCGACAGGACAGGTGGGTACTGCATTTAACTCTCTAGATCAAAAGAAGAGTCGTGTTAACCCACAGGAAATTCAATTTGTTTTATGAAATTGGGCTATGCTATAATCTGACTCTGACAGCAGTCAGCAGTAGATAGCATAAAAACAATAGCAAAAAATCCTTTAAAAACACTTTCATCTGGCAACTGCACAGCCAAATTCTGCCCATAGCTTAAAGAGGACATAAGGCAGTAACTGTGAATACATAACAGAAAGCAGAGTCTGTCCTAAGAGTGTTCAATGGTAAGAACCACAAGGTGTTTTTTAATTAAGGGAACATCATCACTGTCTGACCATCTGCAAATCACAAATGTCATATCTCAAAAATTCTCATTGTGTGCTTTAAACCCAGCCTTTGTCTACTAGAAGCAGTGCCCTCCTTGATATGCCACTAAAAGGAGATCTAATGGCTTCTTTCTTAAAAGGCACAGGAATAATGTAAAATCCAGGAAAACAGTCATAGTGGCAGTGCAAAAGGAGTTAACCCAGAGATAAAGCAGCAAACATGAAGCATCTAACGTTCACAAAAGGTAATTAGTGATATCCATCCACATAAAGAGGCTCATCTGCAACCTTTCCAAGTGAAATCCTGTCCTCAGGCACACCAAAGAGTCCATAATGTATTCCCAGACAGGTCTGGAGGGTAAACTCATTTGTACCAAGGAAGAGGCATGCCAGCAGCCTTGTGATCTGACTGCAGCATCAGGTAATATTAACATCAGCTTACAATTCTGCTGAATTCAGAGGAATTACACAGAAGCAAATGAACACAGCCTAGTCTAACCACCAGCACCAACACCGTGAGACATCAATGCAGCAAATTCCTCTGAAGAGCACCATGGCAGACAGACAGACCACACAGCACTATCAGCTTACATCAACAGTTTCTTTATGCTGACTTCCCTGCAGACGGGGTAAGGTCTTTAGAGACACCTTTAAAACACTGAGCACGCAGTCACTGGTGTGAAAAGAGCATATTATATGGCTCCACACAGATATTTACTATATGTATTTTATTGTACTGATTAGTAGTGCTGTATTAACACTTCAATAGTATGGTAAATGTAGTTTTGTGGTTAAAAGGTAATTTTTGTAGTTAAAATAAGACCTATGTATGTGGGATATTTTTTTAAAGAAAGGAATGAGGTACTTGCACCAGATAGCAGCCACAGGACACCTAAATCTTTCAGAGAAAGAGAATTTATTGCCCCATTATCAGAAGAAACTAACTTCTTCCCGCCTTGCTCAGCCCTGAAGATGCCATCAGGATTAAGAGGAAGAAGTTGACACTGATCAGACAGAATCCTGTATTTGAATGGAATTTATGCATCATGTATGAGATGTATGAATATGCAATAGGTTACTGCTTTTAAGGGTTAATGCTCTATTAACGTGTCCTTTTTCAGGCTTGTGCTGCCCAGAAAAAGGTACCCGGACGTCCGTAACTCTTTGCTTCTGTTGTCTCATATTGTCCTAATCCAAATTGTCCAAATTATTATTATTCTAATTATATTATTATTTTTATAACCATTTTATTACTATTAAACTTTTAAAATTTAAATTTTAAATTTTTTTACATTTTAATTTTAAAAGTGATTGGCGTTTTTCACCCTGGGTTCAACAGAGCCCTGCCATTGACTCCTTCAGCCTCTCACTGGGTGGGCAATATCACTATGGCACTCACTGCTGATTTATAGGAGTTGTGGGCTGCTCTTTTTAGGAGAGGGAGCAGGGGAGCCTGCGGACAGGGAGGAGCGTGCTGTCACCTCAGAGCGAGGATGCAGTGCTGGCAGAAGCGGTGCCCGCAGCCCGTCTGGTGGGGGTTGTGCAGCACCAGGTGGCAGTGGGCGCACTTGTAGCGCTCCTCCAGGCTCTCCACGAACTTGTAGTCGGCGTTGGGCTCGAAGTCCAGGGAGCCGGTGCTGGAGGAGTTCTGCCGTGTGAAGGTGCCCGAGGGAGCAGCGGGCTCGTCACAGGCCATGGGAGCTGCGCTGGGAAGCCAAGCAGGCGCAGGGAGAAGCTCTTCCAACACTCCCTGGCAGCCACTCTGCCTCGGCTACCGCTTGCAGCAGGCTGCTGCGGGCAGCAGGGCTCTCATCTGCAGGGGGGACACAGGTTTCAGAGGGAAACGTGCTGCCAGCTACGGAAGAACAATAAAACACTCACAGAACCACAAAACAAAGATCACGCTGCAAGCATCAAAGCACACTTCTTTGGAAAAGAGCTTCACAGTCTGAAAATTATTCCACAGAATTGTGATTTTTATGGTTTGGTCGGTTTTTGAGGGTTTTTTGTTTGTTTTGTTTTTTGTTTTCTTGCAGCAGTTCTTAGCTCTTAAAAAACGACACGAGTCTCAGACACAGCTGGGGAAAGCAGAGGCCAAGTCTTGGCCTTAATGCTCACCAGGAAAGTCTCCACATAAAGTAGAGCCCACCCACATGAATTTACAAGTTCATTGCACTGCTTCAAGCAGGAGATGAGGAGATGGCTTTGTAGTTCACAGCAAGGAGCAAACAAAAAAGAAGCCAGCAGAGAGATTTTACCTTCAGTTTAGGTGTTACAGGAGTTGAAGCCTCTTAACTTGACATCTTTCTTTTTCCCGTTGATCATTCATTTCTAGCAGTAAACTCTTATTTTACTGGATTATGTGCAGGTTCTTGGCTATATTAATTCTGTCTAAAAGAAGTGGTGGGAAAAAAAAAAGAAAGAAAAGCAGGGTTGCAATCAGAAGTGTGACGTAAGTTTTTCTTTCAACCTACCATAACTCTTACACAGCAAAGGAATGCAATGTTAATCTTCCAATAGGAAAAACCATCAACATTTGTTCCAAGCCTTATGCCACAAACCTTGAGATTTGCCACCAGTCCCTCAACCTTGCAGTTTCTATTTTTTTGCAAGTAGCTCAAGCCCTAGAGCCACTCTGGTTGGCATTTCTTGCAGATTTGCACTTGGAAGGCGTTTTCCTTACAGGACTGTACAAAACACACCTGAGCTGCCAGATCCTGATTTCATGAGGGAAGTGCTCAGTTTTACAGCTGTGCTGTAAAGGATGCTGTCTTTTCTCTGTGTGCACCACCCACCCTGTCAGTCACTGGAGTCACTCTTACTGGCATCAGCACCTGTCTGAGAGCTCTCACTCATCTCCTGTAAGGTCACCCAGGGCATTTGCCGCTTTTGGAGGGAAGCAGGGCCAGCACATCACCATTAACAACCTTGTGTCTGGCATGAAACAGCGCACCCAGGGCTGACACTCCGCCCTCCCTCCCTGCTGCAGCGGCTCCTGGCCCACAAAAGCAGCAATTAGTGAGCTGCCACAGAGCACCTTGGGCTTCAGAGAGCAACATCCATTTTCCTTTCCACTTTAACAATCCATACTGGGCCAGGAAATCCTGCAGACAGAAAATGTGCCTGATTCAAAAACACACCAAAGCACTTAACCAATTAAAATGTATTCCACAGCCAACATTTAAGTGCTCCTGTAACTGAGCACCCTCGTTAGTGGCTGTACACAGTATTCACCTCCTCAGCTGGTGAGAGTCTCCCTGCCTTTCACCAGCCTGCATGTCTGACATACTCCAGCACATCTGAGCATCTAACACTGGTAGCCCTCAGGAATATGAACCATAATCATATTCCAGCCATTAAAGACTTATTATTCCAACAGAAGTTTGCAAATTACCCTGTTTGGTTCCTCCAAATGAAGAGCCTCCTGCTTCAAACCAAACAGGGCTGTCCATTTGCTTCTTTCATTTTTAAACAGTCGATCTTTCCTCCTCTGAAAATGCACTTCCAGTTCCCTGACACCTAATAAGGAGCAATTCTCTTTTCCTCACGTCAGCCAGAGATGACGAAATGCAGCCTGAGGGATTACCAGTCTCCTGTCTGGGCTGCCTCAGGAGCAGATGCCAGCAGCAGAGTGTTCCTGCTGCTTCTAAGGCAGATGGAGAGCTGTCACCATTAACTTCCAGAGCATGGACCACCCTCAGGATGAGCTGCCTAAGAACTCACTCTGTCCGGGGTCAGTGACAACCCTGAGCAAGTTTCCTTCCTCTCTCTTGTTGCTGCTCTCTCTCCCGTTTACTTGGCAGACAATTGCCCCAGTCCTATCCTGCTCCAGCACTTACCTCATCTGATGGTATGGTTTAGCAAGCTAATGCATCACTGTGTAAAAACACACTAAAATAAAACCAACAATGACAACAATTCTATGCTGCCTTTAGGAATCTTCCTTAACTCCAGAAACTCCAGCTGGGGTGACGTATTTTAGGCAAAAAAGTTATGAGACACATTAAAAAGAAACACTCAGCAGCCCAAAATTCCATCAAGAAACTCCTCCAGAGCACTCACTGCTCATTAAATCAAACAAAATCACTCCCATTTCTTTCTGCAAGGAGCACTCTGCTGTGGTACACCACCTTCCAACTCTCCTGCTGAAATGAGAGCCTGTATCTCTTTAAACAACTTCAAAATGCACCCAACCCAGATCCCACTCCTAAAAATGGATACTCTTGGCATCTCCATGGAAGCACCTCCTCCATCTGAGCCTGGCCCAAGCTAGCACTGCACAGCTGAGGGCACCTCAGGACACAGGAAAGAGCACGCCAGGTGAAAGGGGAGGCTGCCTGCTCGGAGGGCAGAGCGGAAACCTCAGAAGATGAGGGAGTTCACTGCTGCTGCCAGCCTTGCAGGAGCTTTGCTGCAGGGCTTGCAGCTGTTCTGCTGGAAGAAATGGGCTGCTCCAGGAGGGGCCTGTGGATGGCAGCGCTTTGCCCAAGCTGGAGAGGTGCCCATGTGAATCAGCTGGGCAGGCTCAGAGGAGCTGAGAAGCAGCAGCCCCTGACAGCCAGCACTCAGTGGGATGTGATCCAAAGGAGCCCAGGCAGTGTAATTCCCATGGCAGCACTCACCAGTGACTCAGGGCACTTGCAGCAGCTCTGCTCCCACTCCTGGCTCCCAGCGCAGGGCTCTCGGAACTGAAACCAAAGGGAAACCGTCAGGGGAAAAAGTGCTGTAGGTGACAGTGAGAAAAGCCCAGGGTTATCTGAATCAATTTCCTGCTTACGCTGATGCCTGGCCAGCGTAGGTAGGGGCTGAGGGAGCTTTCACTTCTGTCTGCTCACAGCTTCCAGCAAGGGGAAGCTGTCCTGCCTTTGTGTATGCTGCAGTTTTTCAGCACACGTGTGAACTGTAATGCTGGTTTAAAATAGCAGAGAGCGGCAGGCTCGTGCTGCATAATGATGCTCTTGTGGCAGACAGTGCATGCTGGAAAGGGATTTTCACTGCAACTGCACTGCAACAGCACACACAAAACCCCCCAATTTATGGAGACTGAAAAGCGACACATTAAAAGACACATTAAAAAAAAAAAAGGATTTCCCTATACTGAAATAAATAAAATTAATCCTACCCACACATAAAAAAGTGGTATGAATCACTAGGAACTAAGCCCAAGTCCTATAAACAGCTACCAATGAGTGGGAGCTCAAATGTAGTGCAGTACAAAGAGCTCACAGCTGCACCTTCCCACCACCTCAGCATCCCAGCCCTGCTTGCACCACGAGCTGCACAAGCAAAATGCTTCTGGAACAACTCTTTCCATGCAGATGCCTTAACCTCACTGGAAATAATTCAAGTGGGAGAATTTTCATAACAAAAATAAACTTTATAAATTGGGAGCGATCCTGTTTTAACACCACCACACCAAACGGAGCCCAAACATTTTCCAGTAAAATGCTCCACACTTAAAATTGCTTCTTGTTCAGAAACTGAGCAGAACATAATAATATGGAGAAAAATCAGCATGGGCATGACTTACTAGAATATAAAATTGCATCAACATTTTAAAGCCATGTTCAAACAGCTCCCTCCAGCACAGCTGCTCTCTCTCTCCACCACCAGCAGCCAGAATGACAGAGGCTGTGTGCAACCTTGATCACACTGAACCACTGTGGACAGATTAACTTCTTCTAGCCACAAAGACATACTTTCTGCACACAGGAAAAACCATTCCTTACAATGTGGTTGCTTTTTTAAAAGAGAACATGTTTTTCCTCTTTTCTCCAATGTGAAACAATCATTACCCCATGAGCTGTGAGTGCACCATTACAGCCAAAACTTCCAGGACAGCAGAACCAGGCACAGGCACTGGGTGCCACCATGTCTCAGACTGAGAAGGGAAAATATCCAGGTTGTTATCACAGATTTGATCACCACTCATGGTCAAGAAGACAAGATCCCTGGTCCTGCTGCCCAGCAAATGGGGCTGAGAGCCCAGCTCCTGCCAGGTTCACTGCACGAGGGGAGCGTGAGGCTCAGCCATGCTCCAGGACTGGGGTATTCCCAGTAAAAAGCACCTTCCTCACTTGCCAGCTTCCATGTCATACATACAACAGGGCACAGAAAAAAGGTTATGCACCTACCTTTCTGTAGCTCTAGTCCACCTCTGTTGCTTTACGCTAAGACACTTGGGAGGGACAAGGCTGAGAAGATGCCCTGTCCCTCCCTCTAAAATTATCTACCTTTTATGGTAGATCAGAACTGTCTTAAGCACAGTGGGAAAAGTTTTGTCAAATTTGGATGTCTAAGATCAAGCCACTTCATTGGGAGGTAACAGGCAGAAACAGAATGGAGGGGAATGCATGCTGCATTAAAACAACCCTCTCTAAGCTGCCTTATAAACTATTAAATTTATGAACAGATTAACTGCTTCCAGTACTTTTGAATTAAGTAACAAAGTTGTATGATTTACTACTCTAAGGTCCTCCAAAACTCCACTATTTTGGGGACAAAAAATATATGCCCCAACTCAACACACAGAGTGGAAGAGCTAACAGTTTCCTAAAGAATGACTAGAAGTATCTGTACAGTCTGAGATACATATTTAAGATATAGCAAGCTATAGGGAGCCATGTGGAAACAGGAGTTGATGACATCTGACATCACTGGGGGATCATCCTTGTCCCTTCCAGCCCATGGAGAGTCAGAACATTTTGACTGCTGACAACAGAACACACTGGCAGAGTGCCCATGTGGGAGAGGCACCCTGGCTGCACCCTGTGTGACCCTGCAGCACAGAGGCTGAGGAGGGAAGGATCCCCTGCTGCACCAACACAGACCCACTGCCAGCACTCAGGGCTCACTCCCCCTTCACCTGGCAGCGAGGGAACCTCAGGAACTGCTCTGCTCTTGTCCCAGTCACTTACAAGCTGCAGGGCAGTGACCAGCTGGTACCCAGGAGAGAGTACTTCTAACAGCAACCATTTCCTATTGGATATGTGCCTGAGCACCCCCGGGGGATGTTGCTGCAGAGGACAGCAAAATAAACATTTTCTTTTGTATACAGACACCACTATGCTATTGAAGTTCCAACTGTAATATTACCTCATCCTCAAGGCACAGTAAAGCCTTACTAAGCAAGCATCAGTGTGCTCATGTCCATAGGCAAATTTTCACTGAGCAGAGTAAGACAGTAAGGTTTCCTTTGCACAGAGGTACAGTCAAGCATTACAATGAATTCCCATAAGACTAGAGTGCTTTAGGGTTTTAAGACACCGGTTACAACACTGCATTTAAAAAAATTTTTAAAAATACACTCTTAAAATTAATGAAGTGTGTCTGGTGCTAAAGCACCTTTTATTTTATAGCCAGTTTACTTATTTCCTACATCTCCTGTTTTCCCTGGATGTTCTAAAAAGAATTAATTAATTAATTTTGCATTATCAAGAAATCTATTTCTAATCAACAGAATACTGTTATGTCTTAAAATAACCTCATCCACAGCTGGAAAATAAACTTGCCATCACTTCTGTGGCAATTCCTGAATGCTTTATCACCTTCCCAAGCACCAAGAGAAATCTCAGTAAGAAGGCTCTGCCTCTCACCCTTACAATATCATGATGCTACTTCGCCGGTTCAGGAGGTGAACTTGTTCCCTGAGACGTTTCTGGGTCTGCAGCCTTCCCCCAACCCCTGTGTGCCAAGCCCCTGAATAGCCCTTCAGAAATGAGAAATAATTCTGGTAAGTTAAGCTGCTGCCAGCATTAACAAGACACATTTTGGTAAAGCCATACCTGGAAGCTGTAGCTGGTCCTCAATGGGGAGAAAATGAGAGAGAGACAGAGACAGAGAGAGTCTACCAGCGTGAGCTTTGTGGTTAGCATAGCAGTACAAGCATTTTAAAACAGCAAGGGAGTGGAAATCCCCCAGAGTAGCTTTGAAAAGATCATGCATAAAAATGTTTTAGAAGTGTTAGGATACAAGGCAAGCCACTGAAAAGCATTTTGCCTTACTGCAATGATGCAGGGACTTCACATTTACCATCTGGAGCAACACCAGGTTACCAAGGACGTTTGTCACTGTCGGAATCCAGGATGCAGAGTAGATTTCACCTTCTACCAAACTGGTGAGTGATGCGATCAAAGAAAAAGTACAAGGGCAGCAGGAAGCACACAAGGACATGAGAAACACCCAGGTCCAATCCTGGGGAGCCCTTTGCAGTAGCCTTGGCAAAGGCGTGTGAACCCACCCATTGCAGGAAGTGAAGTGGCAGCTCACAGAGGAAGCAGCACTGGCTCGGTCACATCAGCTCATGCCACAGGCTGCACAGGCATGAGACACTCAAACAGAACTCCCAAACTGAAATAAAATCCATTTTAAGAAAATAAACATTTTATTTGGTTTTGTAAGAATTTAAGTGACCATAAACCCTAATGGTTTTGTAGTCCCAACTTAATTGTACACTCAGGATTCTTGGCAGCCTCCATCTCCCTCTTTCTGCATCAGCCTCCCGCCCCAGTCCAAAATGTGCTGCCCTCGAGGCAGTGCCTTAGGCTCCATCTCTACCCCCACTCTTTCCTTATCCTCCTCTGCCCTCTTCCTTTGCTTTCTGGTCTCTTGTTTTCATTTTTTTTTCTTTCTTTCCTAAAGTAACCTATTATATTTTCTGTGAAAGCATTAAGTTGTAAGTCTCCTGTTATTTAAAATACTAATTTTCCAAAGAAAGTGTCTATTCTCATTTGTACTTAATCCAACATATAGCCTCTTTTGCCTTTTCCCAAAGCATTTCTAACTTATTTCAATTTCCATCTCCCCTCCAGGAGGTATCTCAGCCTACAGCACATTTTCCTGAACCTTCCATGAAGGTCTGGAACAGACAAAGCATTGCATCATGAAGTCAGTGGCCAAGGGAAAGGCACCAATTTGCAGGCATGCTGCTTCTTTATGGGATCAATTAAATTGATTTGAGTTGCATTTCTCAGCACAGCCTAAGCTCCCTTCTACAGTCAAGCTTTTTAACCCAGAAGGTGTCCTTTCATCCCTGCCATCAGCACCTGACACCAGAACTGCACAACAGCTTGTACACAGGCTTCCCTTGAGCCTGCCAGCTCTGAGGGAAGGGCACATCCAGCTGGATTCCTCGGGAGGAGGCAGCGCTGCAGAAATTGTAGTGCTCTGCAAGCACAGCTCCAGGAAGCACCATCTGCTTCTGGGAAGCTTTGGGGAAAACCCCAAATGGAGAAGTTGAGTGGGAGCAGGATCTTAATTTTAAACAGTTTGACTCTGCAGATGAGTAGAGAGCAGCAGGGCAGTGTTACTGCTTGTGAGCAGCCCTGACCTCCTCCAGCAGCAAGCACAGTGCTGAAACCCTGACCAAGCTTCAAGCAAATTCAAGGGGATGAACTCAAGTGAAAAGGCAGACAGCAACAGCATTTAGGAAACAGAATGTAGGCAGAGATAGAAAAATGCAATAAAGAAACAAAAGTTACTAAAAAAAATAACAGCAAGGGACAGAAAGCAAGACAACTAACAGGCTTTAATTTTTTTATCTTCTAGTGTACTGAAGCCAAAGTGAGTCATCACTTTTCCTAACAAATAATTGGCCATTACAAATTTTGCAGAACTAGGTCTTTGGGGCTTCCAAATTCACTTCTCTTTCTCTGTCCTATAGGGACACACTATTCAGGACTTCAGCTGATTTGATCACTCTGTTGGTTTGGCCATGAATATCTGTTTAAGGTACAAGAGATCCTTGGTTTAATTTGCCACACCCAGACCCTTTGACTCAGTCTTTATAGAAGACTTTACCAGCATCTCCACAGAAATCTATGAATCAACTCAATGGTTATTCATCTGAATTAGTAGGATGAGCTCAAAAAAAATTTTAAACACATATATATGTCTGATGACATGTAGACACACATGTTTCTAGCCAGAGCTGTCATTGAAAATGCAAATGCTAATGTAAAAACCCAGTGCTCTCAGGGACCCCATGAACTTGCTGTTGGGAAAGTGGTGACAGCAAAGATTATCACCATTTTCTTTCCTTAAAATGATAAAAAAAAAACTCAACTGGAAAAAGGATGTGTTCTTAAAAAGCCCTTCCCATGAGGACAGGCTGGAGATGCACAGAGGTAAGAACCAGGGGTAGTGCTCTCCCATGGCCCCTTCTCCAAATGCAGTGGGCACTGGAAAGCTGTGCTGCTCTGTCTGAGCATGCTGCCACAGCCAGGCAGCCACAGCATTTTTTTGTTTCTTTCATAGGGCCACATTCCAGTTTCAAGCACATGGATGTAGCAGACAAGACTGTGAACCATATGGTCTTAGCACAGGTCAGACCATTTCATGTCCCACAGCATCTACTTTGGGAAAAACTGCTTTGCAGATGGTTCCTAACCTTGAGGTTTGGTTAATCACTAGGTGATTTGCATAATAATAGTAAGTAACTTTTGTATTTTGATATAACCTTCTGCAAAGTAAGTTCACAGCAACATATTTTGCATACAGAATCTCTGTGTGCAAACATCAGTACATTACAGACAAAAACTTGCTTTACAGTCCCACTCCCATAGACAAATATGCTTAACTACAGAGCACTGTGGCCAATCCCATCTCAAAATCACTGTGGTTTAGGTGCAAACAGTTTCTCACACACTTGTGTATTTGTTGCAGTATCGAGCAGGGGAAACTGGAAATTTTTGCAACATTTTTATTAACAATACAGCATGAGTCAAGTTTCCTCACTTTCCTGAGCCCAGCCACACGCCAGGGTAAAGAGGTGAGCTTCTTTCCCGGGCTGAGGGAAGACAGTGGAACAACCACACACTTGCAGCCCAAACTGCTACTGATAAGGCACTGATGACTAACAGTGTGGTCATTAACCCTTCAGTTATTGCCGAGAAACTTGGACAGAAAAGCCCCAGAAAGCAAAAGAAGAGGTTCTGAAATCCTCCCCCTGGGGTGCAGTCCCAAGGGCACGCTGGCTGTAAGGTGTCCCAGCCAGAGTGACCAGGTGACCCCACACTGGCTGGGTCCTGCAGCAGCACCCTCAGGCTGCCACGCTGCCCTGGGCAGGGAATGCTCCCAGGAGCTGCCCTGGGCAGGGAATGCTCCCAGGAGCTGCCCTGGGCAGGGAATGCTCCCAGGAGCTGCTCTGGGCAATGAATGCTCCCAGGAGCTGCTCTGGGCAGGGAAAGCTCCCAGGAGCTGCTCTGGGCAATGAATGCTCCCAGGAGCTGCTCTGGGCAGGGAATGCTCCCAGGAGCTGCTCTGGGCAGGGAATGCTCCCAAGAGCAGAATGTCTGCGAGACAGCAGAAACCACCTGAATCCCTGAGCCACCAGCAGCTGCCTCCTCAGGATCAGGAGACCAAGAGAACTACAACTCACATAGACTCCCTGAAAAAACAGAGAAAGGAGTATCTCTCCCCAGCCAGGTGATTCCTGATGATGAATTATGTCTATTTATGCAAAATCAAAGGGTCAGACAAAGAGCTGAAGAGGACAGAGGGCTATAGGGTAACTTAAAGGTGGGGAAAATAAAGTCCAGGGGATGAAGCACCCTACAAGTCTGCACCTGCCCACTGAAGGGATTTTGCAAAGTGACCCAAGCAATACGAGGCACAAAATGAAGAGCTCCTGCCCTGTCCCACAGCTTTGACAGCTGCGTAAGAATTGCTCTTCACTTAGGGAGCCTGTGTGGTGAAATAAAGAACTGTCTGGTTTCTGCCCTCTGCACTTACCTGAATTCCTTTTGTCCAAGTCTACAAGAGCAGCTTTCTAGCTTCAAAATCTCATCCCCTCCTGGCTGTGATTCCTTACCCTCTCAAAACTCCATTAAATATCCTGTGAGCACCACAAGCTTTTCTTTCTTCTTCCACGGTGTTACTCTGAATCTTATCTTTCAGCAGCTTACAACTCTTTAGTTTCTAACCCTAAAGTTTCCTGGGAGGTTCTCACATATGTGCCCTATCGCTGCAGACCATCTTCCACACAGGCTGAACTCTCAGCCCCTCCTCTGATGTCTGGGCTGTGGATGATGGCCAGCCCAGAGGCAGCACCAGGACCCCAAGCTTGCCCTGCAGCCCTTCTGCCCAGCCTGGCACAACCAGACTCTGTTCCACTCAGCTCTGTGACCTTCATCTCCCTCTCAGGCTTTAAGTGTTAGATCTTCACAATACCTCACCAACTTCTCCTGCTTGGTGTCTCTGTGTGACACAGTATTTCTGGTCTGCTAACACAAATAAAACTGCCATCCATCACCATCATCCTCTGGTTTTCATTGAATCAAGGGTTTGGGTTGGAAGGGACCTTAAAGATCATCTCATTCCAACCACCTGGCCATGGCCAGGGACACCTTCCACTAAACCAGGTTGTTCAAAGCCCCATCCAGCCTGGCCTTGAACACTTCCAGAAATGGAGAAAACACTTCCAGGAATGAGGAAAACACTCATTTTCAAACACCTGTTTCTCTTGAAATGTAATATTTTACTCATTTATCCACCCTGTGTGCTGCCACAGGGATAATTTTTCTAAGCCACAGCTACAACCACATCACTTTTCACATCCCTCCACTTTCCCACTGCACCTCTTCACTTTCAAAGCCTGTTCTGGTCTCCCTCCACTTGCCTCTGCATCACCTCCAATGATATAAAGGTTCCCTCTCTGTTCAAGCAATGATAACAGGCTCCACTGCCTCCTTGTCATGTATTTGAGCAAGTGTGTGCTGGGAGGGCAGATTTTTTTTTTTGAGAGATATTAGCAGGCTGTTCTACTTCAAATCTCTTCTCCAAGATCTCCTTTGCCAAGCAGCTGGGAACAACTGGCTTCTGACTATCAAGGTGATCCAGAGGGTCCCACTGTCTCCTATTGCTCCTGCACGCAGGCAGGTCCCTCCCTCCTGACTTGAAACTATGAACTGCCTTCAGCCAAGGGCTGCAGTTCAGCCTTCTGCTCACACAGAGGGGTCCTCAACCACAGCAAACACTTCTCTGCACAGCAGCAATAAAATAATCAAAGCTAACAGCAAAGGAAGTTGTCATGGGTGGTTTTAGGCTGAGCTCAACACATCACCACCAAACCTCATGCTCAGCTCTAAAGCAATAATACAACACAGTCCTCAGAGAAAAGAAGATGATGTGAAAAACCAGCCATGCCCATGCTCATGCATTCCAGACCACCCCAATTTTACCTTCATCGCTAAACCCGCATGCTCTGTGTGCAATCAGCAGGGGAGTTTAAAAATACAACTGTTTCTGCTGCCAGCCTGGAGATGTGCCTGACCTGAATACACCCAGCTATTTTTAGCACATCACTGCACTCCTTTCAGCCATCCCGTATTTACAAAACGGAAGTTATGAGGAAAGTTGTTCTTGGCTGGCACCGGGAAGGCACAACCAAGCTAACAATAGGCAAAGCAATTCAAGAAGTGCCAACAATAGGAGCTCTTCATTTTTCCTTCTAAATATGAGGAGTGTTGAAAGCGTTTGGTTAAAGCCTGCTGCGCCTCGAGATGCTCCCAGAGTGCTGTTAATCAGGAAAAATCAGAAGACCCCCTGCACAAGCACAGAGGGGAGATTCCCTCCCTCCAGCAGCATTCAGCTGACACCAGCGGGGATGCTTGTTACAGGTCCCTGCAGTGTGAAAAAATCAGAGCTGCAAAGACATTCTTCATTCATCCGAGCAGTCCCGGCTTTGTCTCCTTCCCAGCCCCCAAAATTTCGGCCCTGCCTCAGCCTCTGGGGCGGGCACCGGGCCTACCTTTCCCTCCGGCACCCCGGGGGCGGCGGCCGTGGCGCATCCCGGGCAGAGCAGGGCTGAGCCCGGCTCTATGAGGGGAGCCCCGCGCCGGGGCCGAGGGCTCCGCCGCACCTCGCACAACTCCCGGGGCGCCAACTTCGGCTGCGCGACCCGGCCTCCTCTGGAGCGGAGCAGCCCCGGCCCCGTGCAGACCTGCATTGCCCCGCGGGGCTGGCAGCGGCACTTCAGGGCTGTCACCCCCCGCCCGCCCGGCCGGCAACCCCGCTGCCGCCCGCGGGCCCGGCCCCGCTCCCCGACGCGCCCCGTCCCCTGTCTCTGTCCTGTCCCGGCGTGTCCCTCGGCCCCGGCCCGCCCGGCCCGCCGCACCTGTGCCGGCGCTCGCCGCGCTCCGAGCCGGGCCCGGGGCCGCCGCTGCCGGCGGTGCGGGCCCGTGCGGGGCCGGCCCGGCTGCGGGGGCGCGGCTCCGTGCGCGGCTCCGGCGGGCGGGGGGCGAGGCTCGGACGCGCTACTGCCGCCGCCCCCGGCCGCCGCCACCCCCGCGGGCGGGAGCCGCTCTCGGTTTCATGGCAACCCCCGGGCGGGGAGACCCCGGCAGCGGCGGCACCGCCCCGCTCGGGCAGCGCCGGCGGCACTCCCGGGCTGAGGGAGGGAGCGGCGGCGTCCCCCCGCCTCCTGAGGGACGGCAGCGCCGGGAGCCGCGGCTGGGGAAGGCTCCCCTCCCGGCAGCCCACCCTCAGCCGCCGCCGGCCCCGGGCTCTGCACACCGGCCCGCAGCCCCCGAGGCGCGGTCAGGGTGGCAGAGCCGTGCCCCGCAGGCCGGGGAGTTTTCCAGGGGCGGCGGCGGGGCTCGGGCGCAGCAGCCGCTGCCTGCAGGGAGGGCAGGTATTGCTCTTTCATTATTTACACCTGCGGGACTGAAGGAGCGAAACAAAGCCCCTGCTAAATAGGCAAAGGACGTGCCACAAGCCTGTTATTATTTGCTATTATTATATTACTGATACGTGCCGGGACTGCTGGCTAATGGCCCGAGACGTGCCGAAGGGCTCCTTAACAAGGCAGGCAACGCCGCCCTCCTCCAGCCAACAGCGCCGATGCGAGGGCTCTGCCGCCTGTTCCCCATCACCTGCTGCTGCACTTTGTTCTGTCTTTCACATTAAACCACTTCTAGGAAAACCAGTCTCTAAGGAACATTCCATCCTAGCACACGCACAAAAGCACTAAGGCTGACAAAAAAGGAAACAATTGGGTCACTTTATCTGGATTGTCTTCAAAGGAGCTCTAAAACCAATACTAATGAAATAGTTTCAGAAAGATTCGTCTTTTGCTAAAATGACTCAGAATTGTCACTCCCGAGGGAGTCAGTCCATAGTGCATTGAGTCTGGGAGCCCAGCAAAGGCATTACTATGACAGACACTTTACAAAACACTCCTTGCAAAAATTAGGTTGGTTTTATTTTTTTATTAGCTTTTAGGAATATCCTGATTAGTCTGGGTCCGACTTGCCGGAAGTTCACAGGAAGATCCGTCAGAACAACAGGCATTATATTTCTGTAATTAAATATTTATAAGTTTAAATGAATAGCTTAGAGCTGGGATCAGGTTCCCAAGCTGGTCATTGGCTGCACTATCCTCCCAGTGCAGAATATAATTCCCCAGAACACTGCTTTGTGGGGATGAATAAAACCATCACATATCAGGGTGCAGACATTAGTTTAAAAATACCTCTTCACTTAAGGCTCAGTGAGCCTAACAGGATGCCTAGTGTGCATTAAGACAAAGTTGCATCCTTGAAACTGCAGTAGAGATCCCAATCCCTGAATCTCAGTGCTTCCTTTTGAGCCAATCTAAGGGAAAGCTGTCAAGTCAGTAACAGCAACAAGAATTTATTGTGCTGCTAGAATTCTTTCAGTGTACAAAACTACACTGGAAAAGAGCTTTAAGATTAAAGAATTAGAACTAAAACGTAGCAGCCTTCACTAGTGGTGAAAATGAAATAATCATTTTCCAAAGTTGTATTTCAGAATTAATTTTGAGGATGTCTGTTCTATAAAAGGGGGCAGCTGCTAATTAAATAGTCCAGACACTGTTGCCTGTATATTTTCTCCTCCCTACCTGACTGTACATTTTTCACACCTAATTCATTGGCAATGGACTGAGTAGTGTTAAAGAGTTCATGTTTGCCTTTATCTCATATACAGCTGCCCAGGATAATAAAGCAGATGTCTATCTCATAAATGCCTGGCTTTAACTCACTCTGAGAAAGGCAAGCTCTACCTCAGCCTCAGGAAAAGCTGGAGGCTCACCACGTTTAGCAGGATGACTGAGCTGTATTCAGTGCTGTTTACAGTGCAACATTGCTGACTTCTCTACAACTTCCCTAGCAATATGAAACACATCTCCAAGCACACTTCCCTAGCAATATGAAACACATCTCCAAGCACACTATTTCATGATGTTTGGCGTTGCTTTTTTGCCTGGCAACCACATTTCTGCCTGGCCTCAGCTGTAAGTTCAGTCTATTCCTCTCTTTTGCTCTAAAGAGGCACAACACAGTCCTGGTAACCTTCATCCCAAACTATTTCCTAAACTCTGCAATTTGTCTCTGTCCATACACAAACTCCCATACTTGTAAGCTACTGGTGTGCGTTCTGTTCTTGATGCATTGTGAGGTTTCCAGAGTAAAGAAAAATCCCAACACTCTAAGGATGAAAAAAACCCTAAGGACAGAAGTACCTATTTCTATTTGCTCAGGAGCAACAAATTAAACTGCTTTACTATGATGTGCAATGTTTAGTGATTGTTTTATTAAATGCAGAAATACCTGCTCAACTTCGTACCCATTCTGATTTAAAGTGCAACAATTAAATCTGATAGTTCTTGTACATCCATATTTTGCAAGTGTTGTTTCTTGAATACATGTTGTTCTGATTATGCTTTGCATTTGTAAAATGTAATTTTTTAGTACTGTTTTGCTTTATTAACTAAAATAAACTGTACAAAAAGCTGTAGAGTTACATTAGCTTTGAACAATGTAGGATACACGTTCTCTGCCCAACGTTAGTGTGCAAACATTGTACATTTTTTAAAGTGACAAAATTAAGCCAACCTTGAAGTCAGAGTTCATTACTACATGACAAAACAGGAGACTAGATATGGCCAAAGAAATTTCCCACTGAAATCAACACCATTGTATAATTTTATTTCTAATTCTTAAAAAAATAGAAATGAATTTAGAAGAGAATCACAGTATAAGGGCCCTAACATATTAGACCATTACAAGGTACATAAAAATAGAAGACACAGATTTCTTTGAAACTTTAATCCTTTGATTAAGCAGCAAGCAAATCACTCTCCAGGCAAACACTGCTTAAAACATACCCTACCCCCCAAAACAGGACGTGCAAACTGTCTGCACATATTCTGCAAAGCACACAATAAAGACATTTTGCTATGTACAAAGTTATTTAGTACTACAAATGCTAGGAGTTCCCTACTGTGTGCTACAGTGTAGGTAAATTAAGAAATACTACCCTACCTATCTCTGACCCTCCCTCCCCCCTTCAAATACAGCACCTTTGCCCAGTTATAGAATATTTAAACAAGATTAAACGGAATTACAATGTACTGAACAGCTTCATAGCAGTTGGTGGTGGCCAACTGTCCTGTAACACCCAACATTCTGCATACTGAAGTCTATCGACAAGAGACAAGACAAAAATTAGCAGATGTACAATACACACACCTGGGAGACTCAATGCTTAAAGTAAAAAAAAAAAAAGAAAGAAAAAAATAAAAAAAAAAGAAAAGAAAAAAATCCCGAAGATTAATCTTACCACTGTTAACAACTGAACTGTAAAAATGTACCATCTTGGTTTTTCATTGGTTTTAAAGACCAGAGAGCAGCCAGATTTGTGTGCAGCTAACGAGGGCACACTAAAGACTCCTGACTCCCAGAACACAAGTTTCCATGACCACTAACTCCTTGGTGCTTGTTTTAAAATTCTGCTTTAGTTAGACATGGGATCATCTGATGCTCACATAGTGGCTAAGCACCTACTCTGAGGCAAAAGAAAATTTATAAGACAGACCTTTTGCACGACACCTCAGCACACCAGTGAAAGCTCTTCAGAAAGGAAAATCTCTCAAGTTTGATTTGAGAGTATTTTAAAATGAAGAACTAAAACATAAAGGTCAACACTTCAACTTCAATTCAGGTTACAGCTATCAAACTTTAATACTAGATTTTCAAATGAAATAGAATCTGATAGTACAAGAACTTCCCTTTGAACATTAAAAAAAGACCACCTTTAGCTGCTAAACTGATCATTAGACCACCTAATTTATCTGTGAAAAAAACCTAGGGAGAGCACATCCCATTTGCATAAGAAGTCTCATTTTAGTCAAGGGCAAATCTAGTTAAAAACAAAAAGGAGTTAAAATGACTTTTAGACATTTCAGCTACAAGCAAAAAAAACCTTTCAAAATAGTACAACAGTCAACATGAATATTATTACATAATCAAGAATGCATTATTTTTCAATAGCTTCATTCAGATCACATGGTTTCGAACAGTGCTACTCATATTTGCAGCCTGGTTTACTTGGAGGTTAGAGGCATCTGCTTTTACAAATAAAAACACAAAAAAACCCCCACGCCCTGAAAGATTATTAGGCATCAATCAAGATTTCAGATGAGAATGCAGTGAAATGAGTTTCTTTCAAACTCCTATAATTTGGAAGCAATATTAATATTTATATGCAGATTTTACTGAGTCAATAAAATAAACAAACACCTTTGTCCTTCCCCCAATACCCTCAGCTCATGTAATCAACTTTGTCAGAAATATAGCAGGAGTCAAGAGATAATCACTTAAAAGTAAGACTGGGTTGGCAGGAGGTAACTACTCTCATGATACTCTACCAGCACCACCAGCCTCTACAGTTCCCTCATTAATGCTCAAGCAAGGTATCAGTGATCTAACATACACGAACTGCAGACAGTCATTCTCAGAGGAATGGAATTCTTGGAATTCTACTGTAGTTACATTAGAAGAATTAGCAGAATAACAAATTAAATTAATACTTCTTGCTAGATGGTTCCTCTCCTGTCATCCCCCTGGGTGGTGGAAGCTGCTGCCACTCTATCCTGCCCAGCCCAAAGGACTGCAGCAAGAAACTGGACTCCTGCTTCCAGTTAAATTCTATGAGTAGAACGCGCATGAGATTTAATAAATTTGGTACAATAGCTCACTGAGTCTTCAGATTACTCTGAAAGAGGAGCATTTAATAAGCCAGTACCTTTTAAAACAAGCTAAGATGCTCTGAGAAAAACATGGAGAGAAGACCTACATTTTACAAGTGTGTGAAATGCTGTTATCTAAAACAGGGTCAAACATTCTGAACCTAAAGACATTATTTTCT